AACAGATGGCAGTACAATAAGAGGCGTTTATAACTTCCGCTTGATGATACGAATGCATTAGTTTACACTAGAGCTTCTGAATTAGAGTGTAGGAGCCTTAATTTACACTAATCTGAGCTGTTATACCATCATAGAACTGTAAGACTTCCCTTTTTTAAAGGATACTGGGTGATATTCATAACTATGAGAGAGCATTTAAAAAAAAAAGTATCGGAAAAGCACAAAGTTTTTCTCGGATAACGGGGAAAAAAATTACGCTAGCATTTTAATTAAAGATAGCCCAATTTAAATCAATTTTACACTGTGACTTATTTTTTGATTTATAGGTTAAAATACAGAGTCATGATTATTTTATAGTTTCTTCAGTTCACATTTATATTACAAATTGTCATTCGATAGAAAGTGTGTATTCATTGTTTGTTTCACAGATTTTAGTTGTACCTTCTGCATAATTTTTTTTTTAAATGGACTTTCAAGCAACAAGCAAACATTTATCACTTCCAAGGGCTCAGTTTACTAAATAAAAATTCAACAGTCTGTTACATATTATGTTCTAATAGTGATTAAAAAAAAATAATAAAAAAATAATTTTCTTCACTAACATAATACAATAAGTTGAATATTCTTAGATTAAATGGGAATATATTAAACTTATTTTATTTACCTCATATGGCTTTTATTTCATATTTTTTAATAGAAAACTAAGATTACGATTTTAAGATTTTCTTATGAAATTTGATATCAAGAATATAATGAGTTGAACATAAATGATAATGAATTGAACAATTAGAAATTTGGAGTTATTATTCTTGCCTAAACATAAAAAATTCAGGAATTTTTTTCACATAAGAAAATTGTTATTTGCCTAATGAAGAGATATTGTATAAATATAAATTATTTGAAAAGTAAGTTTTTTTTAAAGTCATAAACGCCATGATAGTTTTAGTAAAGAGATCTCTTCCAATAAGCGAAAGATATATTTATTGCTAAAGACACAAAAAATACTGAAAAATATTTTATTACAAAAAATTTAAAGCAACATTCGATAAGAAATCTATCGATTTTCATGAAAGCAAATATAATGAAAGGTACTTTTCTGTTAGCTGGGTGCAATTACAGGCAACTAATTTTATTTATTTATTTTAATATACCTCAATTTACTTGTTCCTGGCTAACAAAAGAGTACCTAATAAAAAAAGTAAATATTTATATACTTACAAATACTTTTTACATGCAATGAACGAAACTGAAAGTAGAACAAGTTTTAAAAGGGAAAAAAATATATACATATATACTGTATTATTATTTTTCAGACATTTTCAGTAGGTTACAGAAAGAAAAAAAGATTAAATTTTAAGAATGATATGATTAACATTTACAATTGAAGAGAAATCATAACTTGAGCAGTTCAAAGTGCAAAAATAATTTAAACATTATTGAAACTATTAAAAAATTAATATGAAATTTTTTAAACTTCCTGAAAAAACACAGTCTCCAAACTCTAGTCAAGCACTTTTTGATTTCATAATAATTAAAAACTGTATAATTAATAATATTGAGACATTCTCTATTCCAGGTACATATTTTTTTTGCAAAAAACAGTAGACACATGGACTAGAAAATTGGGGATTTTTTTCACAATAATTTTGTAAATTATAACTAGAAAAAAGTTTTTTTTAACAGAAAAAAAATCACTTGTTTTATTTCCCAACATTAACGATATTTCATTCAAAAAAATATATATTTTTTTTATTCCCTGTTTCTCATTTCCTAACACCCAGAAGAGTAAATTGGTAATCATAACTGTAATAATGGTAAGCAAATGAGCATCAGAATGCTTTTTATGCATTTTGAATAATTTAAGTGTCGTATAATCAGGTGTCAAATGATAATGGTTCTGTATACAATTTAGTTTTTTTTTTTCCTTTTTACAAAAAGCTAAAACAATGTTTGGTAATTCTAGCAAATATACTTAAAAAACTTTTGAATTTTAAGGTTAATTTTTGAAGGCTTCGTCACCGCATGAAATAATGTTTTTCTGTGAATAATATGCTTTTTATAACTGCTATGAGTTTGCAACATTTACTTCTTTTTGTTAGGTCAAATTTAACTTATCTTTAGCCAGAGCTCTCTTTGCTTATTCTGAAAATGTCAATATGGAGAAAAGCCACAGTTTTGAGAAAATAAAAAGTTTGTGGTTTAATGCTACATTCTCATAAAAATTTGCAAAAATGAGTATAATTCATGGATTTTGGTAATTTTAATCTAAGTGGAAAAATGCTGCCAAATTAGTGATTTTTAAAAAAGTTTAATGAATTGTAAATTAGATAATTTTCTATGGCAAAATAATTCTTTCAGATAACAGATAATTAATTCTTCATGGCAAGATAGTCTAAAATTATAGCTTGGCTTTAAATTCAAGGCACTTAAACTGTGGCTTTTTTTTAATTTTTCTTGAAAAAAAAGAGCCTCAAAAAACTATGTAAACTCATAAAAAATATGTAATTGGGGATAAATGTAGAAAATACAGTACTGACTAAATTTTTTTAAAAAAAAAATGCATTTTAGTTAAGTGGTTTTGACAATGAGCAAACTTATCTATTATGTAACTGTTTTATTAATCTATTTTTGCAATTTGTTTAAAAAAAATAATTTTTTTAAAGTTTCAACACATTGACTTTGAGAATTCTTTTAATATTACAATTAATACGAATGTTATGAGTTTAAAACCAGGGAGCGTAGCCAAATTATTCAACAAAAAATAAGCACCTTTTAAGCACTTTTCTAGAACTCAAAAAATATTTTTAAGCACTTTAAAAAAATATAACTAAGCAGGGTTGGAAATTTTTTGACAATTGACGGTTTTATCTTGCTTTAACCATCATGCATAATTCAAAACGAAAATCAACATAGTAAAGGAAAAATCTCATTTTTAAAATTGGGAAAATTAAGCACTTTTTAAAAATACCCAATGAAAAAAGCACCTTTAAGGGCTTTTAAAAAACGAAAATAAGCACCTTTTAAAAACGCTACGCACCCCGAAAACTTAAGGTAAATTAAAATGCATTAATAACTATTATAGTAAATATGCAGTAATATCACAAAGTCAAAGGGAGACATAACAAGGTAAAAAATATTAAGCCAAAATATTAATGTACAGAATGATTTTTCAAAGCAATATTCAAAGCAGTTATGTCATGTGCAACTTCAAAGGTATTAATGAAAAAAGCAGCAGAGATAAAATTCAAACTATTCAAGAATCAATATACCAAAATTTAACAGTGTTTCATGGAAATAGTAAAGAAGAGACATTAATATTGAATTAAGGAAAAGATATTCATTTAAACTCGAAGTATTTTTGTTACAGGGTCTGTGCTAAGCTTTTGCCACCTCGCCAAACACGATAAAAACGTAAATTCAGTGAGAAAATATGTGTTGTGGGGAATGTCTTTATTCTACTCAAAAGAAAAATATAAATTCCCCTCAATCCTGAAAAGGAAAAAATTTAAAAAAAGGTCAAAGGGAACTTTTTTTTTTACAAATCCTGTATATATTTTTTTATTTGATTAAAGTAATTTCTGTTTGATAAGTTGCATAACCAATTAGAATTATAATCCAGATAATGCAAGCATAAGCAACAAGTGAATACGTAAACATGAGACAAATTACAGTAAAATACAGATTAATAAGTTTGTTACCGATTCTTTCCTGCAGTTTATGTCAATGATTAAGTGGTAGTAAAATGCATAATATCATCCAACTATTTTTGCTGAAAAAATATTTTTTTTGTGATAATAACGTGACAACAACATAATGTTGCTTCAAGTTTATCCTAATATACTGCTCACAGGGTTCGTGATTTTTTTGATTTTTTTAAAAAAAATCAAAAGAATCAGATTTTTTTGATTTAAATCAGATTTTTTTGATTTTTATTCAAATACACTGTAAGAATTTTAATTTACGATTAAAAAAAANAGTAATTTCGTTAACTAAAATTAATTAATGCAGCAATTTATTTAAAATAAATTTTAAAACTAAGAAAAGAAAATAATAAAAGTATCAATAATTTAAAGCACTGTTTTTTAACTTTTAAAATCAATATAATATATATATAAAAATCAGTTGATTTAAATCAATGATTTTTTTAAAAAAATCATTTGATTTTAATCATGATTTAAATCGTGATTTAAATCAAGCTGATTTAAATCAACAAACCCTGACTGCTCAAGCCTAAGAAGTAATCAAAAGTTAACCCTAACCTATTCCCATTTCCTCCTAACAGCAAAATGACTCTTGATTTGCATTTTATAAAATAATTCAATTTATAGTATATTTGTGTTTTGATTTGAAATGCTTTACAAGAAAAAAATCAATCATAAAAATTTTTAAGTTTTGTCTCTGGCTAAGAATGTCGAAAATTGGTTAATACTTTTGATATTTGATTAATTTACAGGCTAATAATTTGAAATCCTTAACAGCATTGTTAGATACTTAGCACAAGTTCTGGTATGTGTGTATGTAGTTCAAGTGATAATGTTTCTGAGCATTAAGTTTCTGAAAAACTTTTCTAATATTTCCATTTTAAGAATTGATACATTTGTGTTAGCTAAATCCCATCACACGCAGTAGGATATAAAAATAGCAGAAAAATGTGAATAAAAATATTCCCAACCCAAGTTAGCAGCAAAAGCTCTAGCTAAAAACTATTTAACTAGTTAATTTACAAGCTGTTGAGAAAATAGTTAAAATTATATGTTCATTTCAAGAAGTAAAATCTTTTATTCAAAAAAAGTGTCATAAAATAACCAAATTAATAATTAAAGCAATTGTATTAATCAGTTTCAATTTTCAACAGTTCACTTATTGCTTAAATAAGTCAAGAATAACACAGCAAAGTAGCATTTTTCTTTTAAATTTACTTAAGTAAAAGAAAATCATACAAAAATTGAAAAATAAAAGTTGATTTCAATATGCCTTTCTTTTTTTCTTTTTTAACAAAAAAAGAAACAAATGCTTCAAAATAGTCAACTAGCAAGTAAAGCAATCTACTTATCAGTTTCAATAAGTATTATACACATTTTAACAGTTCACTTATTGCTTAAATAAGCCACAAGTAATACATCAGAGTATCATTATCTTTAAAATTTACATAAGTAGTTTTAACTCCATCATCTGAACAAGTTAATTAAAATTTCAGTTTCAGGTTGAAGTTTCATTTCTACAGATGATTTTAATCATAAATAGGTTCAAAATCTTGATCAGATTGTTTTTTACTGATCTCCTCCTCATTATTATTTTTTTGTGCCATCTCTTCATCACTAGCAGCATTTTCGGATTCATTTACAGAAATTTCTTGAGAAATTTCAAGAGGTTCTTGGGTATTTAGTACAGTTTGAGGAGATTCTGACACTCCATCGGTATTACTTTCAAGTTCTTTCTGTGGAACCTGCATTTCTGGTTGTGTAGTTGAATTCCCATTGTTTTCTCCTTCAGGATTATCAGCAGGTTCTGCCGATTCCATCAATTCTTCTTCAGTTGGACCAATATTTTCTTTGTCACTGGGGAAATTATCTTTTTGGTACCATTTTTCAACTTCTTGTAGTTCTTGCTCCATTTTCTCTCTCTTGTCACGAATAGATTCTAAAATAAAAAATAAATACATTTTAAAAAAACTATAGAGTTTAGTTTTGAAAAAAATATCTAAACTGTCAATCAAAATTATTTATTGTTAATGTTTATTAAAGTTGTCAGAAGATAAAAGAGATTTCTTTGAAAACACTAAAGTGATAATCAGTAAAACAAAAAGTACCTAAAAATTAAAACTAAGAGTGTACATTATTATTAAAAAATTGATTTTTAAACATATAGATTTTAATAAAAAATAAAATTAAATACACGTCAAATTAAATGTAAAATTTGAAGACTGAGAAAGAGTTGAGTGAAGGAAAGTTCCCAGTTTAAAATTCCCTAGTTATTTAAATAAGTTGCAAAACTAAAGAGAGCCTCAAGCTGTTGATAGAGACAAATTAAGAACCTCAGACAGTTTATTGGACATAAGTCAATTAAATATTTTTGATCTAATGGCCAGATTTTTAATAAATTTTAGATTCCAGTTTCCAGGCACAAAAGTCAAATAAAATGTTTAATAAAACAAATTTTACTAAAATATGACATAAAAACACACTCATTAATCTTTAATATAAAAATGCACAATGTTCACAGAATAAAATGTAAAAAACACTCCTAAGAACATATAGATTATTGGTGAGATTTTAAATCCGGACACAGCTTGAAATGTTTTACAAAAATGGACACTGCTTGAAATATTTGTTTGCAAATATGGACACTGGTTGAAATGCTTGTTTACAAAAATGGACACTGCTTAAAATGTTTGTTTACGAGAATAAACACAGCTCAAAATGGGTATTTAAGAAAATGTACATAGCATTTGATTCCATATTTAAACTTTTTTTTTCATGAGTATTGTGATCTTTTTCGGAATGAATGCAAAATGTGATATCGTTTATTTGTATAAACTACTTGATAAGTTTCATTAAATTAGTTTTTTCCGTGGAAAGAATCTTGAAGTCAACAGTGGTTTTTAATAAGTGGCAGTAAATTTATGTTGCAAAAATTTAGAGATTTAAAACTCAGTTTATTGCTTAGAGTTCTCTACACAAAGATGTCACATGAAAAATTACACTGATAATATACCTAGCCAATCCAATCCTGAACTTTGTCTCGCAATAATTACAATTAGTGTTCAAATAAGTTAGGAAAATTAAGCATATAATTCCTTGTGTAGTTGTTCATTTGAGTTGAAAACTAAAATAATGAATTCTTTTGTGCTCTGTTCAGCCATAAAAACTCACCAACGAGATGCATACTTTTTTCCCAATTTTTTTAAAATAAAAAATCTAGCTCTAGTGAAATGGTTAGCTTAATTTTCTTTAATAACCTTCTACATGCAGATCTTATTTATCCTCAATTTGATATTAATATAATCTAATCAGTGCCATTTTTGATTTGAAAAGTTGAAATGTATGAAAACTTATAACGGGGTAAGAACAGTTTAAGTTCATTAAAGTTGATTCTGAGAAAAGTACAATGCATCTTAACTGTGTAATAATTCTTATAGAGAACCAATTTTTCATATTACGGTGTTATAATCGTCATTTTTCTAAAAAATCGATATAAGTTGTTCTGTCCCTTTGTCTTCTTTTGGGAAACGCAGAGAAATAATTAAAATATATATATACATATCTTTCTAAAAATTACATAAATATTTTTAAATTGATTTTAAAAAAATGACTTTATTGACTTATATGATGATAAATAAATGCTATGCACCGATAGATTAACGCATGATAACAAAAACATATCTGATAAAATCAAAGGAAAATTTTATAGTTTCTTCAGAAAAAAATTTCTAAAATCATCTTACCCAATACTTTAGCCTTGGACTCTTTCAAGAGTTTTGAAGATTCAGGAGTATGACTAGTGGGAAGAAATGTAATAGGTGGCTGAGTTTTAGTCACAATGAAATTTATCAAATGTTTTTGATTTTTTTCCCACACTTCATGCTGAAATAAAGAAAAGAACAATTTAAAGTTTAAAAATAATCACAATACAAGCCTTATCAATTTATAGCTTAAACTTTTAATGTGCATTGTAAAGGTTTAGATCATATTTGAAAGTAATATGAATTACTTATGTAAGCATAACTATTTTTTTTAAATATTTTTTACATGAGAGCAGATAATAGAAACTACTAATCTTAACAAATAATATAGTTGATAAAAAAGCTTATCAGAATTGGTATTATAATCAGAATAGTTACACAGTTCTGCTAAATAAGTTAAAACATATTTGTTAATTTTACACGTATTAAAAAATAGATATGAGCCAGATAATATGAAGAAAAAAAAAGTTTTATCCTTCAGCTAGAAGATAAATAGACTAGAAATATAAAACAACAGACTTAGATAAAATGAAAACTTTCTGCAAATACAAAATCTCAACCAAAAAACTTTCTGTAAGCAATTGATTAGCTCTTGTAACTAGTCTTAAGCGATTCACTAACACCTCATTTTGACAAAATTTGTTCAAAATTATACATATAAATAGAATTTTTTTTAAAATAGTCTATACTTTATATAGCTTTAAGAATAATTTTAATTTAACTTTTTAAGAGCAGTAAAAAAAAAGTTTTCATAGGCACAAGTTAACAACAATAAATTAACATACAAGCTCAGCAATTTCCAATTTCTTTTCTAAACATCTCAATTGTGTTTGTTTCTCACGTCTTGTTTGAAACCATTCTTCTTTTTCTTTTTTAATTCTCTCTTTCTCTTCTACAGAAGCAGCTTCAATTTTTTGTTCAATTTCTGCCCGCTTTTGGTCCTATGGGAAGATTTAAATTAATTGAGACTGCTTCAGTTTAGAATGTAATATTGATAATTGAGACACTATTATACTAACATTAATTAAATAAAAAACACAATGAAATGAACACATCTGTAATGAATCTATAATGAAAATGAACACATCTATAGAATGTATTAAATGATCAATCAATCAATTTACGATTGTTCATTCAAACAATTGTGACTAAAAATTTAATAATGCCTATAATGAACTTTCAAACATGATGAATTTTTCAAAATCAAACAGTAATTACTTTAATCCAGGAGTATAAATTTTAACTCTTAATGTCTCAGTTAATAAAAACTTATCATTCATAATTTCAAGAACTATAATCTCAATAAAAAAATTAAAAAAAAAAAAAAACTAAACTCAGAAACACTACAGCCTACAGAGGGCCAAGACATATTGTGCTCATCCTAGTTTTCTTAACCCTGGGCTGTGGGAGCAAATTTTCGATTTAAGTGGTCGGTCAATTGTGGGGTCCCCAGAGTTTAGTACCCAAGCATGTTTGGCACAAAAATATGACCTAGGACATGGGATCATGAAGTGCTACTACTCAGCAACAGGGCTCTACATTCTCAGTAATATGTGAAAATGCTATCATTAAGTAATTTAAAGTGTTTCTCTCTATTTTTTAACTTCAAAAATCAAGCTTAAATAAATTTGTTTTAAAAATACCTGTTCTTTTCTTTTTTTAGCATCATGCTGGAACTTCTGCAATGTACCCAATATCATTCCAAACATCCTACGATTTCTAAAATAAAAAGATTAGCACAGGAAGTTAGCTAAATCAAAATTTTGAATCTTGTTTTTTTAAATCACAGACACTTAAGATATATATCAATAGTTGAGGTTTTTTAAGAGGTAAATTGCATTCTATAACATATAAAACAATTTCTAATTAAAGGGAAAAGTACGCAAGTAAAAAGTAAGTAGCAAAGTACAAGATTATATAATTAACATACAAACAAAACATACAATATAGTACAGTATAAGATCATATAATTAATGGAAAAGAAAAAAGGTTAACAAAATATTGAGATAAAAAAAATTTTAAATTAATAATTTTAAAAGACAATAAACTATTATGTTTTGATTAGCGTATATCAAGAAAAAAGCTAAAAATATATTCAATTTTAAAAATAAAACCTTAGACAATGAATAAAACGAAAAAAGTGATGTCTGTACCTTGCTTTCACTTTTGAATTAACATTCTGCTCTTGAACAGCTTCCCGACGGCTTTTTAAATCTTTTGGGGTGGCAACGACTGTTGATGGTAATGATGGCTAAAGAAATTAGATTAACATTCAATATTTTGCATGATATAAAATACAGATGCACAACCTGAAGACATGCACATTTAAAAATTTATTTTATTTATTCACTTTGAAAAAAAAAGCAAGATTTTTGAGTTGCACAGTCATTACTTTTAAATCATCTCAATTTATGCAGATTCCACTGTAAATTAGTATGATTTTTCTAATTTTTTTATTATCAGTTATCGCCATGGAACAACAAATTGCTAAAAATCTCAATATTTAGAATTATCTCAATGTTTATTACAAGTCCCAAATCACACATTTTAATAATCACTTTTTGTGCTAATTTGTGCCAATTTCAATATCAATCAATGTCACATTTCGAAGTTATTCCTACTTCTTTCCTCATATTTGTGAAAGTCTTGAAATATGTAATATACAGGTATCATTATGACTCTGTAACTTCAAATCATGCATTTAATGTTTTGAATTTTTCCCTAATTCTTAAAACCAAGTTTAGTCATTTCTCTTTTTTTCAGTAATTATTGCTAAGCATTTCCAAGAGTTTTTAAAAATCAAAATATTATTTCTATATGCGAACTGGGTATTTAAATATACATTTTATTTGTGCCAATTTCACAGCAAATCTAAGTTGTTTTTTTTCTGTAAACACAGCTATGCTTTTTCAGATTGTTGGGAAAATCAGGATATTTTTATTACAATATTAATGCCATTTGCAAGTTTCAAATCGCACATCTAAATAATAATTCTTTTTCCCAGTGCTTTAATTGTGCCCATTTCACTTCAAAACTGTGTCATTTTTTGATCGATTTTCGGCAGTCTTTACTACGTATTTCCACGTGGTATTAAAAAACGGATACTTTAATACAATATTATTACAAACAAAATTTGGAGAAAAAAATGCAGGAATTTTTAACTGTTTACTGTTTGTTACGTTGTTTCGAATTTTTTTGCAGGGTAAAAAACTGATAAACCTTAAAAATTCATAAAACTTCAGTCAATATAAATGTCTTACATTTGAAAATATATTCCCAACTAAACATTGAATCTTATTTTGAGTTATGTTTTTTTTAAATGAAGTTGTCTTAAACCTCATAAATTTTCTTTAATTAAAGTATTTCCTTTGCTTCCGTTATTTTCATTCTCAATAAAAAAAATTTCATTTTTATTTTAAGAACATTTAAGTTAATTTATTAGGTAAGAGTCATTTTCAGAAAACTGGCCATTTCATGTTCCATTAGCCCTAAAGATATATTTTTGAAATATAAAAAACAAAAAATGGTCAAAACTATCAATATTATACAGTTACACATATGAACTGTTATTATCTGCTTATTGGAATTAAAATAACATTTTAAGATTTCTCGTGAAAGCAAAATATCATTCACCCACTCCGTCCTTATTCACACATGCAAATATCGTTCATCCCTGAGTATAAATAGACCTTTAAACCACCAAAAATCAGGGGATAATAACTCAAAACTAAAAATGAGTATTTTTATCAAGGACAAGCACAAAAATATAAAGATGGGAGAATTTAATCTCATTTCCACTAGTACACACTGTAACTTCCAAACATTAGCCAGTTTTTTCTTCTTCAAAATTCGACACAAAATAGAATTTTTTTCTATGTTAGTTTATAAAATAGTGGCGAGTAATATGGGAAGTTCTGTATGCTACCCAAGAGTTGGAAAATTGAATAAGTCAATTGGAAAATTGAATACAATATGAAACCATACTTTCAACAATAGAAAATCTCAAAATTGTTTGCCCTAAATTGGTATAAAAGAGCACCCTAGACTATAAAGATAATAAGAATGAGCTAAAATTGCTATTGGTTCTTATATGATTTAAGAGTTTAAAATAGTCTTATGACAATAAAAATGAGAGCAGAATTTATACTTATAGTTATAAATTATGTAAGATAAATATAACTATGGGTAAGATTACTCTTTTAGCAGGTATTTCTTCATCTGGACTTTCATCATCTCTTCTTTCTTCCTCTTCGTCTTCCTCCTCCTTCATTTTTCTGAACAAGGAAAAAAATTTTTTTAAATAAAAGTTAAAAATAAATTATTTGAAAATACACTAATTACGAAAAGAAATGGTTCAACAAATGTGAACACTATGAGCAGCATGACCATTTCAATCTAACTAAGTATCAATGTACGAAGGTCTGACTTGGTCAATATGCTTGTTAGCAATTTAACAAAATTTCTCCCATATTTATGTTTAATGGATTTGGTAGTGTTTAAAGGGTGGTTAGACAGAAATTATTAAATAATTTAGTTCATTCAAACTTTACAAATAGGAATCACTTATAAAAAAATAATAAAGTTCTCTTATAAAATAAACTTACACAATAGGGAACAATGGTCTCTTGTTTCTCCCAACGAAAGGTTTACTTGGTTGCATTCCAGCTTGTTGTTTCCATTTATTACCACTAAAAGAAAAAAAAATTTTATTTTTGAAACTGCAAAATTTAGATAAAGTAATGAATCTAATAGATGCTATTACTGGCAGATGTTATTACATGTTGATAAAACATTGATACCATTCAATTTTTACAATTAAATCAATAATTAAAAATGTTGGAATCATTTTTAAAATACAGTTATTTGTAGTTGTAAAATTTCCACATGGAAATTATAAAGAAATTTTTGTTACAAATAAGTTTAAGACTCTTATAACAAAAGAAAGTAAGATTAGATAGACAAACATTTTGGATTACAAAGCAATTTTTCTTCGCAAAATAAAATTACAGCACAGTAAAAATTCTTGTAGTAAAAAACAGATTTTAAATAAAAGTTTTAACAAAAGCGAAAAAATATTAAAGTTATAACTTTGCAATTATACAATAATTGATCAAATACATTATTATAACTATATGACAGTGAGCAAAAATTCGAAGCAAAAGAAGAGATAAAAAAATATTCTATTTTTCTAAAAAAAACAAATAAATAAAAACTGCAATTGAAAAGAAACACATACAAAAAATATATTATGGCGACAAAAAATATATTATGATATTGTGTTCTGCTTATGAAAATAACTATTGCCTGTAATATTAAAGCAAGTTTCATAAGATATACCTATGTCTATGACAAGACTTGCTAACTTTTACTGTTTCCGAGAAAGTATTTCTCAAGTGGTAGATAACATTAACTTTTCACAATTGCTATGGCAGAGCTCATTCTAGGCAGGGTAAACAGGGCGCAGCACCCTGCTGCCCTTTTAGTCAAAAGAATCCACCCTGTTGCCCCTGAAGTAAATTAGTGTCCTGATATAATAGACTGCATACCCTTTTTTTCCTCAACCCTTTGTTTTTTCCCCAAACTCTACTATGGATTTCTTAAATTTTTGTTATTTTCAATTCTTTTTATTTAGTTNAAACCAGTTTTTTTTTTTTTTGCTTTACATTTTCTTTTATTACGTTTTTATACAATATTTGTCATTTATAAATACATTTTTCTTATTCAAAAACACGTAACAAAAACAATTGGGGGTAGCATTTTTGGGGCTGGAACGGATTAATGGCATTTCAATTAATTTCAATGGGGAAAATTGCTTTGAGATACGAGCAAATTGACATACGAGCAACGTTACGGAACGAATTAAACTCGTATCTCGAGGTATCACTGTACCAAGTTATTTCTTAGATTGCTTAAAGAGAATCCAACAATTTACAAGCAATTAAAATAATCTTTTCACAATTGTCACAGGTTTTTTTTTTCTTTCCGATTCTTCTCAAAAGTGAAGATTTGAAACACACCCTCTTTAAACATTGACTGCTTCAATCATTATTACGATCTTTTAACAAGACCAGACACATATGATATACAAAAAGTATTTTTCTTTCTCACAGAAAAGTGTTAAGTTCTTGCTTTAAATGTTAAGTTTTTATCATAAATGAAAAAGGTAAGGATACACAATATCTAAATTTAGAGAAAGATATGCTAATATCTGATGCATATTTAACTAATTTAGAAAAAAAATTTGCCAAAATTTAAATGATGATGGTAAAAGTTGGTACTCAGAAGAATGTTTTAACTGTGCGCAAAATTTAGATTCAATCTACAAAAGAAAGATATACGTATCAGTGATCACATCAAATTTTAGTTAAGTTTTTGTGACTTCTAAACAGTAGCTCTTGAGAAACTAGGAAAAACACCACAGAATAAGACCAACCCTATTGAAAACCTCTAGGAATTAAAATCTTGATGTAGTGCAAATTGCAGTTGACATAAACGGTTACAGGTATTAAAATTTCACTTTTTATCATACTATGATTTGGATAACAGCAACGAATTACACATCTTTTTAATTCCTTATTCACAACTTTTCAATGTAATATTGAATTAGAAATGTGTAGCAGAAAGTTGCACTGTATCTTTGTCACTTTAGGGTTCAAATTTTTAATTCAACTAGATGAGCAGTTTTAGATTGATTTTGGAAATGACAGTTGGTTTAAATTATAGAATATAAATAGGTTTTATATATCTCTGGTTTAAACATTTAGGTGTGCACTTACTTTATTACATACCTTAAACCATCCATTTAAGTAAAACACACTAACAAGTACAAGAAATAACAAATTTTTAAAGGAGGATAAATATAATTACAGATTTTCCACTTTAATTACAACTTATTAACTATAAATTTATTTAATAACAAATTTTAGGATTTTTCATATGTACAAATTGAATACTTTTTGTATATAGATTACACAACCTAAATAAAGTGGAATTAAATCCTGTATATGTAATTTCTGCAATAAGAACACAACTATATAATCTTAAAAACTATTTGAAAAGAACTCCGATTTAAAAATGACAACTTTGACTTACGGTCCAGATTGCCCTAAACCATCCTTGGGAAAAAGATCAGGATCGCGACCTGTAATTCTTCGAATATTCTCTTCAGCATTGCCCAATTCTTTCTTCGTCAGTTCAAACTGTTCTAATAAAGATTTAAAAGAAGCAGGATTTGATTCTTTATCCATAATCCTTTTATTCTTTAGTTCAAATTAAATATCGATAGACAATTTACTGACAATGCAAGGAATGATAGTACTTGATAAAACAAAATTTAACATTTTAAAAGCACATTTTTACAATTAAACACATGTTTTACTTAATTTGAGAAATATTTTGCAATAGTTAATAATTTTTATTTGTGCAACTAACGAGAGAAAAATTATGCACAGACGCGATAACAACATAAAAACCTTGAACACGGTTGAGGAAGAATATTGATAGATTGATTTTAAGCACATTATTAAGTTAACTTTAACCGTGGTATTGCACTTTTAATTCATGTTTTCAAAAGGTTTCAAGGGATTAATCAATATAAATTATCCGTAGCTTTCTTGAAATGAAGTGAAGAAAATCAAATAAAATCAAAATATTTTCCTTTTCTGTGGTCACTCTGGTTACAGTAGTTCATTATATTTTCGTGAGTCAAAATGTTATAAAAGCGGCCTGAAATCAAAAATTTAGAACTCCTTCTATAATCTAAGCGTAGTAAATATAATCATTGAATATTTTGATAATAATAATTCAATTGAACAAAAAATTTCAAATCGCCAAGCATTTAAAACAAGTGGGTAGCTCTAAAAGCATGTGTTCATATATATATTTTTTTTCTTCCTTTCATGATTTATTATTGCTGTCTTAGTTTAAATAATTATATTGATTTTACGAAAATATCTTGAGATGTTTTATCATGTTAATATTTAAGGGAAAAAAGATTTATTCATCATGTATTTTGGAAAATCTTAATCTATATTATGTTCCCGAGTGTAAATTTTTCTATCAACGTTCTTTTTTACCAGCAATATCTTATTATTCACATTCTATATCATTACTTAGACTGTAATTTAAAACAGCTTAAGAGAAACTATAATTGCAATAAATTAATCACTGTATTTCTTATTCATTTGTTAGTTCTTATAGTTACGAGTGAATATCAGAAACCTTTAATGACAGTTTTTTTCTTTGTTTATGACTATGTGGACTAGTAAATGAAGGGAAATATTTGTTAGAGAATATTAATTATACTTACTGTAAAGCTTTTATGTTTGAGAGCCTGATTACATCAACTGTGTCCATATTTAGAAGTTTTAGGAAAAATTTTGTAAATGTGGTTACCAGATTATTCTGCTGTCCAATGAGTGACCTACTTGATTTGCTGCTTTTTGTATTTTTATGAATTACAAATGAATATATCTGAAATATTAAAATTTAGGACTTTATTGACTCCTTCTAGAAAAATGATACTTTAGTTTTAATTTCTCTTTCATTTCCATTTACTAATATTGTCTTATTGAATCTAGTTTATTTTGATAATTTATCAACATTTTTCTTCATAGAAACCATGGAGGAATCAAACAAACATGAAAATTCTGATGTTGAATGGTCTGTGCCTAAGTCAAAGAAAAGGAAACAAACCGGTATGGATGTAGACATGCAATCAGATAGGAAAAGGCATAGACCTCATTTTCCACCTGCAAAAAGCGTTGATTCGGTATGAAAATTGTTCTCTCTTTCAACAATCTTATTTTTAACTGATATTTAAATTTAAGTTTATCTAAAGCAACTGAAAAATTCTGATAATATTAATCTAAGTGCAGGAGTAGATATTAGTGAAATATAATATCATATCTGAAGGTTGCTAGAAGGATTATCAAAGTGACTAGACGATATTACTCTTCACATTTTCATTGATTCATTTATATGTCTCTATTAGATTTTTTTAAAGTTAATTTGAATGAAAGATAACAAAAACAAAATGTAATTGTTATACTTATGTAGAAATATGCTATTTTGTGAAAATAATACAGACTTAAACACAAAGGTTGAATTAAAAAAACTAAAACAACCTACCATTCTTTTACAATAATTGGTCTAGGGGGACTACTGATTGTTTCATATTAAGTTCAAGATAAATTTTAAGATTAATAATAAAAATAATTTAAATAGTAAAACAAGATAAATTTTTAAATTAATATAAGATGCAATTTCGAGGTTTGGAATAAATCAGTTACAATTAACCACTTAGTCCTTATGGTAGAATTCATTTTAAGCTTATAATTTACATTTAGATTTTTTTTTCTTTTGTTAAAAGACGAACAATAACCTATTAGCATTGTTGCTTTTAAAATTAAAATTATTACTCACTAAAATACAAGGTTTGAATTATTGTTACATTTAGCAAAGTTCTCCTTAGGAATAAGAAATGACAGGGTGCTTCCTCACAGAAAAGTACATTATGAGTTTTGAAAGAGGATTCACTCAATTTATCAAAATAATTCCACTCTTGAATGTTAAGATGATGCAAACATGTAATGCATTGAAATGTTATTTTTGAATCAGAAAACCCTATAAATTTCCATCATAATGATATATAATCATTATAATAGATCATTGAAAATATTTATTTGTATGAATGTTAGGGTACAGAAAGTTAAATAACTTTGCTTATCACCAAGTACTTGTACCAGATAGTGTTAAGCTCTCAAAACTGTAAGATGGAAACAGTATTTGCCATTGGCCTAATTCTTTTCTTTTATTAAAATCCTATCACTTCGATGTTTGAAAAGATTAAAAATACTTCTTCAGAATTAAAATTTTTATCCGTGTCTAAGTGAGTCTTTTGAAAACATTATTTCTAGATCACTGCTAAAGTTTCTAAAAAATGTCCATAATGCCAGATGAAATTTCACTATATATTTATTGTTACTCTTAAACCACTTGCTCTAGTTTCTTATATCTTTGATCTATCTTGGCATGATTTTATTTTAGGAATATTTAAAAAATTATCTTGGTAAAATATTTAGCACTATTAAAGAGAATATTTAGTTGCATGCTGTTTTTAAAAGTGTTGTCTTATTAATTCATTTGTTCATTTTTTAGACTGGAAAAGGAGAGATGAGAAAGATCCCTGTCCCTCCAAATAGGTATACACCTTTAAAAGAAAATTGGATGAAAATATTTACTACTGTTGTTGAGCATCTTCATCTTAGTATTAGATTCAACTTAAAAAGAAGAATGGTTGAAATACAAGTAAGTTTCTGTACAATTAAATAAATTGAAAATGAATAACACAAAATATAATAATAACTTGAATGTTTTTTTTTAAAAAATTTTAATCTATTCTTTTTCAGACGTGTAAAGAAACTAAAGATGTTAGTGCGCTTCAGAAAGCAGCAGATTTTGTTCATGCCTTCACTTTAGGTTTTGATGTTGATGTAAGTTAAAATTGTAACTTATTTCTGTTTTTTTTTTTTAATGACCTTTAATCTTTACAAAGTTGTATTTAAACTTTTAATATTTATTTTCTTAGGATGCAATGTCTTTGGTGCGTTTAGATGAATTATTTTTAGAATCTTTCGATATTAAAGATGGTAAGTTAAAAAATTAAGTGTTATTTACAATGACGATGAAAATAAAAAACATTTCTCAATTAAATGAGAGCTGATATTTTGGTAGACATTGTTTTGATAGATGTATAATATAATATTTTTTTAAATGATCCTTTTGTGTGGTTTATATCCATAAAAGAGCAGGCTGCAAAATGTTAGCAATACACGTGATATGATTACAATTACATTATGAAATAAATTAAAAATGTTTAATTCTACCACTAGTTTAATGCCTATAATAATTTGATTATATTATTTGAATATAAATTGCATTTCTTTTTTCTTTATAATTGAAAAAATATATATTAGTACCGTAATTTTGCAGAGATACTCATAAAATTACTCACATTCGTAAAATTTGACTAAAGAGGAAAAGTTTTTTATTAGGAAGATCGCACCATCGTATATGCTGCACAAAATTTTACTACATGATTAGCGCATCTGTTTCAAATAGTGAATTATATACAACCATGATTGATTAAACGTTTAAAAATCATTGAAATAATTAATGTACGACAATTTAATATATTTGATCTTACTTAAAATAAGAAATAAGTTATCAAAATACAATAAATTGATGAAAATAATCTTACTAGGAGCAAAATTTTACCAAGTAAAACAATTGCAATCCCATCACGTTGCTTTAACGTAATTTGATTTGAAATACCTAAATGTTATTAAGTCAAATGATTAGACAGCTAAAAGTCCTTAAGTACAGTAATTCAAAAAAATATTAATAGTAATTAAATAAAATAAATCTTGTTTTGCGCAAAATGGTACGACACAAAACAATCCCGAACGCATCCCATTTCTATTTACTAACTTAAATTTCTAAAATTTTAACCTATCAAATGATAAACAGCTAAAAACCTTTAAACTATTTTTTAAAAAATAAAGAAATAATCTCATTTTGAGCAAAATTAAATCATAAATTTATCGGACATGCATTATTTCTTTTATAATTAGTTTAGAATATCTCAGTTATATTTTAAAAGATTAAATAGCTAAAAATTGTTAAAATGTAGAATAATTAAAGCAGTTCATGTGTTTCACTGTTATCCACGTTCTCAGCGTGTTTCATCAATTTACTTGAATATCTCTAAATTGCAAAATTGTTCTTTGGTAATTGTCGTAATATATCTGAGAGTAACCTTCAGCGTAAAATGGGGTTAAACTTGACCTCCAAGATAGGTCATTTAAGCATTTTATCCCACTCATCCGTATTAGAGAATGACTTGAATATATTTCTTTCACTTTTTTTTCTTTATGCCTGCAGCAGAAAGGGAGGATCATACTTCCATCAATCCTTGTAAGAGACTATTTATGGAGTGATTGCAGGAGGGAAATTTGTCAACGGCTTCTTTGTTTGAAAGTGGGAGCATCTGTTGTGTTCTTATTACATTCCTGCAAACTGTTTTTCACCTGCATTGTAAATTCTTTTAGCTATTGTTGATCGTAAATTATAAAAACATATCTCTGCAAAAGATAAAAAGATGAAGATTAATAATGAAATTTTGGAAAATCGATTAAAAAAACATTGGATAAGCCTCATTATTAGAAACATCGCACTTACCAAGGTTTAATGTTTTGACTCATAGACGTCGCACTGTATCTCCACGAAATTGCAGTACTTTTGCTTATACAGGATTATATACAGTTTTCAAGTTTTTTTTTAGATCTTTAAAATTTGTAAAGCTATGTTTTCAATATATATATTTGTAAATGTTGAATTGGTAAAGATATTAAAAATATCTAACCTTAAAATGTCTTACAAGTAATTAAACATTTTTCTGACATTTTATTATTTAATTTTATTTGTTGAACATAAATTTAAGAGGAAATCAAACGAATTTCATTTAAATTTACTACACAGCATTATTTTTATATGTATCCTACTAAATTTCTTTCCAAGTGATTGTATCGGTTAAAATACAAATAGCCCTTCATTTGTTTTGTTTAATCTATTTTTTTAAACATTTACCATTTCAGTAGTATTTATTTATACTATTATCATTGAAAACTAGATTAAAGCAATTCCATAATTTAGAAATGACTAAAATAATTTACATCTCATGAGGTTTCATATTTTTTTTATCGATTTATTGCTGATAGGAATCAAAAACATTTAGGCGATAAATAGAAACTATTATTTAATTTATTATACAAAGCTTAACATTTTGAATTAAAAATGTTTTATTTTGCAGTCATAACCTTCTGCCAAGCAAAAAGTGAACAAACACAAACAATCCTAGTCAGTACTTAATTTCTTCAAAAATTCATCAGAACATTATTTGTATGTAGATGATGTGGAGATTTCAACATTATTGTAAATTGATGTCGTGCGAATCTTTCTGCTAGGGGTTATATAAATCTGTGTTATATTTTAGTTTTGTAACATATATTGACAAATTTAATAAACCAAAGATAATATTTTTCTAGTGTAATTGTAAAGCTTTAACTGGTTTCATCTTATATTTTAGTTAAAACTTTACATGGTGACCATATATCTCGAGCTATTGGCAGACTTGTGGGTAAAGGTGGTAGAACAAAGTATACAATAGAAAATGCTACAAAAACAAGGATAGTAGTAGCTGATAGGTTTGTAACTATATTGCTAATTCCATATTTATTTCTTTGCATTCTCTTTGTTTTGTGTGAATTTTGCTTTTTATCCAATGCAATCTAGAGAAATTGATGACAGACTAATCAAATATGAGATAGGGTTTTAACTTGAGATAAAAAAGTACTTTTACGTTTAATAGTTTGCTATTATTTTGTAATCCATATTGAACTGATTGCTAAAATATGTCTTTTACTAAAAGAGGTGGAATTTTTTTAAACAGAATTATAGTTATTAAAAAAAATTTCTTAATTTTTTACTTACACCCTATACCATAAAATTTATTAATCTTAATGTAAATGTGTCATGTAATGGTTTCCATTATTGTGGCAATTTTATGCCAGGGAAGACAAATGAGTATTAATTTATTTACTCTAATGTTCGGCTGATATTGTTGATTCAATTGTTACATATATATTCAATTGTTAAGTTATTAGTAATTATTGTAAAATATTGAATCGTTGGTATATTTTGGTGTTACATAATCTAATCAGATATTGTGTTGGAATGGTAGTGATTTTGTATTGATATAAAGTCACAAATTAGCATTTTAATGCAATTTTTAGTCGACTAATATTTTAATTTTGTGTATTAACTAATGTTTTGAATTGCTGTCTAGATAATATTAGGACAAAATTAGGGAATTTTAGTACTGGCTTGTGACCAATTTTGGCATTTTAAACTGTGGCTACTTTTTCAGAGTTTGAATGCTTTAAACAATTAAATAAAGCTAAAATTAATAATGTAAGGAATTTCTTTCGAAGCATTTTTCAAAATATGTTATAATGTTCTTTTTTTTTTAAAAAAAATATTTAAGAAACAAGTGTGATACTATATTTATTTTAAACAAAAATAAATAATAAAATTCACGTGGGTGCAATTTTGATGAAAAAAGTTTTGAGTGGGTGGCGACTGGCAGGTAATTATTATTGTTGTAAACTACCATTAGAGTTAAAATCAATAGTATAAGGGATTTCTTTTGAAGCATTTCTCTAGATATTATGCAAAGTTTGGTTCTAAAAAGAAAGAAAAATTTGTAAAGCAAACATAAAATAATGTAATTTTCAGAAGAATTAAAAAATTATTTATAATAATTTCATATTTGTTTTTTTTAAAAAGTAATAAAATTCCCATGGGGTGAATTTCCAATGAAAAAAAAAGTGGCGAGCGGCAGTGATTGGCTGGCAATATTTTAACCCCACTTGCTATATTCAGTCGCTTCATGGATGTTAATAACCATTAATTTTACCCTATAATGGATAAGAGGTACAAATAATTGTCCTCCAGAAATAGAGTTTTTTATTAGACTTTTCCTCCATTGTAAAATTTTATTAATCCTATATGTGATTCAGAATGAACCTTTCTGCTTATAATAAAAAAGTAATAATTCTAAGCTAATTTTTAAAAAAAATTTTAAAACCTTTTTATAAAAATTTTAAAAAAATGCAGTAAAATATCTAATACTTTATTCATTGTTTAAAACTTAAAAGGTCTTACTTGTAATGTACTGTAGTTTTACATATATAGTCACTAGTTTCTCATCCAGTGCTACTAATAAATGCAATTTAAAAATTGTTTGATACAATTTATTGTTAATTAATATGATATCAAAAAATTTCTATATTTATATATATACAACATTTATTTAGTAACTCAAAGGGTTGAAAAAATCAAGAGTTTTTATGATAAATCATTTTTTTGTATAGGTCTGGTTGTTTTGATCTGAAAAAGGCACAATCAAATTTATTTCCTATCATAATCTATCAATGTTAATTATTTTTCTAAAGCAAAAACCGAAGCATTTCTTGATAATAATAAAAAAAAATAATAATAATATATGAAATGCAGCAAGACTTCTATTATGGAGCTTTTACAATATTTTAGTTTTGCTTATAGAATTTCAGGATTTTAAATACTGTGTAAAAGTCAAATTTTATCAATATATGAAATAAATTTTTTGTAGTGTATGGACAATCCTTATTTTTCTTATCTGTTATAACTTAGTTTGTTTATTAAAAAATTAATGACTTTTAAATACTTATACAAAATTTGGCCATTGAGTGTCTCATTTTGTGTTAAAATATTATTACTGTAGGGGGAAAAAAATTGGAATTACTAACAAACATTTACTACAGTTAGGTAAAAAAAAATAATTTTTGACATGCACCTTTGATATTTATGCCTATATAAATTTCGTTGTGTTTATTTAATATATACACAGTGAATATGACTTTTATTGTTTAATATTATAGAAATTTTAATATCAAATATTGAATTTTTTTATTTTTATAGCAAAATTCACATCATGGGCTCTTACCAACATATTCGTGCAGCAAGAACTACTCTTTGCAATCTCATTTTAGGTATGGATAAGCATCTTATGTATACGAAATATTTTATTATTAGTAATTTAAAAAGAAGTTAACTGCTCTTTTCATTCAATGCATGCCAAAATATTGTTTTAGCTTGTGTTTGTAGAAAAATTTGATTGGGAAGTTGAAAAATTTAATTGGGAATATCATTTTTTTCCCACCTTATCAGGCAGCTTAATTTTTTAAATTTTTAAACGTACACCCTTACCCTAAATTTTGTAAAGTTAGTATGTACCGATTAGTATGTAATCGATTACGACATGCAAAGTTGTTTAAAAATTAGAACATTTATTAGTCACTTTTTGACACTATCACTTTTTTTTCAATAAACTTTTTCACACTTATTGCTACTGATGTCCAGGTGGTTTTTTGAATCTCGATATTATTAAGAAACCAGAAATTCAAATCGCACATATGAGCAATGTTTCGATCGTTTTTCGTCAGTTATTGCTGTTGGTTTTCACATGGTTTTTCAAAATCCCGATATTGTGATACGAAAAATTCAAATTGCACACTTGAATATTCATTATTCGACTTGATAATTCTATCCTTTTTTCAATCAATTTTCCAGCTGTTAATACAAATGATTTACGCATGCTTTTAATAGGATATTATTTGATACGACATGTGAATCTCGAAACATATGTTCATTCAACGTTTTTTACTAATCGAGCTTTCTTCAGCTTTTGCCGTGACTTTCAAATTTTTTTTTTTTTTTTTTTNCTGAGCCACTGCACCAACTTTTTTTTTTTTTTTTTTTTTTCCGTGTGATGACTTGCAGAGTGCAAAAAAGGAGGAATGTGTAACTTTTTGCTGTATATATTTTTTTATGTGTTGATAAAAAGATAATGTACTAAATTTAAAAAAAAAAATCTTTTCAAAATTTTATAAATGTTATTTTTGTGCATAAAAATGAGTCTTTTATTTATATTCTACGTACAAAAATAAAATAAAATTAAGTGTTTAAATAATACTACACATTGAGAAAAACAATTTCAGATAATTTCTTTTTCCAACAATCACATGTCTGCTTATAGAGCAGAGCATAATTATTTTAGTCCCCTTTTGATAGAAAAAGGATTTTACATCCATGTTAACCAACAGAGAATTGTGTGTCCAGAATTTCCCCATTTATTTCATAACTAATAATTAATTTTTGAATAATTTTTGTTTTGTTTAAACTTTGAAAAGATTTTAAAGATACTTTCAAACTTAAAATTCAAAATCTGTTAACTAAGATCGATAGAACACATTTCAATGAATAAAATGAAACAAAATTAATTAAAAAGTAGTTTTTAGTTACCTAAATAATAAGGAAATTCCGGTTATATAATTCTCCGTAGGTTAACATATAGGAAGTAAAATCCTTTTTCCACCTGAAAAGGGGGACCATTTATGGTTTTAGTTAATTTTTTTTAGTCTGAATAGTTATCCATAATATTAGATTTCAGAATATACCCATAAAAGATGCCAGGAAATGTTTATTGTAATGTAAATCTCAACAAACAAAAAAAGTTATAATTTATAAAAAAATATTAAAACTGCATTAATTTTTCAACTATTATGCTTATCTTTGCCATTGATATCATTAATTTATTTATGAAATAAATCTTTAAAAATGCTTTTGATACATATTTGTGTTTTTAGGGTGTGCTCCTTCAAAAGTACATGGTACAATGAGACAAGTTGCCAATCGTTTATCAGAATCCCTGTAGTTTTGTAAATAAATATTTATTCGAAGTTGCAATTTGTTATTATTTCTTTATTATTATTATTTCTTTATTATTATTATTTAATTTTAAACAATTTTAAGGCTATGTTAACAAATCACACTGCTATAATTTTGTTACAATACTGTGTAAATTCCCCAACACCAAATTGTTCTAATACTTTTTTAAAACAAAGTAAAAAGTTTAATCAGTATTCATCTTAAGAGAAGAGTGAATTTATACTTTCCTTCTCTTTTTGTTATTAATAAACGATTTGGTGCTTCATTCAGAATTCAAATATTAGTAGTTGACAAATGATGAAACCACATTTAGTAGGTATGTTCCCTAAGATTGTATTTTAGCATTTTTTAAGAGTTTAATTTTTTTTATTGTAGTTTTAGTTTCCCAAAAGAAATGTTTAAAATATTGTGAAAAGAATTGTAACTAAATGAAGAATACTGACGGCACATGAAAATTATGAATTAAATCAATTAATCAACAGTTAAATAAATAACCATTAAACGATAAACTTTTTAAAAGTTGAAATAATTTGGAACGGGTTCAAAAAGCTCTGACCGTGGAGCAGTTCCAATTTTCCATTTATGTTTTATCTTTATTTTTATGTTAATATTTTATCTACTCTCATACTTAAAAGGTACCTAAGTTTTAGCAAAGAACTTTTTAAAAAATATAATTATGAGAAATTTATTTAAAATTTCGAAGTTTTTTTTTCTTCTTCGTATGAAACTAATGAGAATTTCAATTTAAGTAACTCATTTAATTTTCATTCGCATCTGTATGTAATAAAGGTCATTTGTAGTATTTTGTGAATTTAGTTTTACATTTAATCAACTAGAGTTCTACAATATTCATGCTTTTTTTATCATTTTTTTCTACATTTGAAGTTGAATAAAACTTCAGGTTAAGTTGTGTATGATTGCGTAAAACTTCAAAATTAGTTTTAATTTCAATTCCTGAATAAAAATAAACTTGTCTTGCTGTTGTTAGATCTAGTTTTCTTCTGAAAAAATCAAACTATGTTTAGTGCAACGGTTTTTTTTTCTCGCAGTAAATAATGCACGAATGGAAGTACCCACTTGATACTAACAAATTGAAATAATCGTCATTAAATCTTTCTTTTTTTTTAATATTTAAAAATGAGCTGTTTTGAATGGACAAACATAATAAAAAAAACAGGACCAATTATAAACAACAATACAAACTAATAACCACTGAAAATAAATTTATGACTAATTGATAAAATAAAATTCATGCTTTTTTCCCCTATATGTTTGGACAAGATTCTTCTAGCTCTGGTGCAAGTAAATTAGTTAATATTAGAACTCTCATGTTATGAATGGCAGTAAAAATATTTCTTTAAAGCATTTCCATAGTGCTGCATTCATTATAATATTGGTGTAAAAAAAATTTAATACAAATTCGTTCAATGTGATTAAAAATATATTTTTTTAACTAATGATCCATGTCACGAAAATTAAGTTAAAAAAAAAAGGATGACTGCCAAATGCATTTATCATGCTGAAATATGCATAACATTTAAAAACTAAATTATTATCTTGGTTAATCCTTTTTTTTTTTTTCAGTGAATAAAAATCATTAATAGAATCTGTTATCTCTTATGCCACAACCTTACATTGAGTGCAGAATATGATCTATTTTTAGAAATTCTCTCAAAATCTGCTTAACATATTAGCATAGAATTCAAAGCTAAATGTTTGATTTTATTCAGATTCGTTATTATTTCTCTCATTTTCTTTTCTGCCAACTCATTTGAATGTGTATAAGGCTAAGAAAAAGAGCTTTGGCAATAAATTAAGGCAATTAATAGGATTCCTTGGTGGAAACTATTTTAACATTTACATAACTCACATTTTTGATTTCTTGATGGATGGAAGTGTGCTGAAAGACTTGGCCCTGCAGCTGTACCCTTCGGGCCATTTTCAAAATGTATAATTTTACCAAATGCTTATGTAAAACAGAGATGCCAACTTGCTCCGGACTGCAAATAAATATTTTCCAGTGGTAGCTTATTAATTGTGATTCTTGGTTTAATAAATCCAATTTAGTAGATTTTTATCCACCACTATTTCTAAACAATTTGTAAGCTTAGATGCTCACCACTTTTTTTAATTTAAGTCATGTTAAACCTCTTTAAAAAGTTACCAAAATTAGTCAAATATTTGCAAAATTCAGTTTGTAGTTGTTTACCATTTATTAAATTATTTTAGCTTGTCCGGAGCAGTTGGCATCTCTGGTAAAATAAAAATGAATTGTTATTTTGATAGAGCTCTATATTTGCAAAAATTAAAGCTTTTATTTATCATATTTGATTCATAAAATTATAAACAATTTGATTTTTAACAAATAATTGCTTATTTTCACTATAATTGGACAAATGAATAATAATTTCCTACAATGATTTATATTTCTTTAAGCAGTGTTTTTCAGGAATAAACAATTCTTTATTTACTAGTGATAATCATCTTCAGGAAAAATATATTCTCTTCCAACATTTTCAAAATTATCTCATCATAGCAGTGTTAAACCTTTTAATATGCCAAATCAAATATGAAGATTTAAATATGATTTTAAAACTGCTTGTATTGCCATAGAACCACTCAACAGACTATTTTAAGCCTTTCTCTGTGTAATTCGTACATAGGATTATTTTAATATACTAATTTTGATATTTTTTTATATAAAAAGCTGTCATTTTTATTACTTTCAAAAACTTGTGTTAGAATAATCATTTTCAAAAATTTTCTCTGTGTTTCTAAAATGTTTACTGTATGCAACTTTTTTTTTATAATAAAATTGTAAAATACTCTTGAAATTTAGTAGAAAGATATCATAGCAGTCTGCTTTTCTAAACAATACTTAAAAAACAAATCGTATTTCTCTTTGTTAAAACTAATGTCCTTTTTTGTCCTAAGTCCTCATCACCCCCTAACATAAGTATCAATCGGTGCTGATTGCGCAAAAAAATAACTTTTTATCCTCCTCAAAACCTTTAAGTCAGTTGGAATTGAGAATAAGATGCGGTTTGCCACAGTTAACAACATTCATCACTTTATAAATAAACGAAATTTGGGTATCTTTTATCATATTAATCATTGTTTTATATATTATAGAATGTCAATAATAAATATTTACGTAATACCCTCGACTTCATCTCATTACTTTTTAGCTGAATAAAGCAAAGAACGGCAGTCTGCAGAAAATGTTTTAGGAACTTACCTTTATATTAATATTAAGAAACAACAATATATTAGATTGAAAATTTTTTTAAAACACTGAAGGTTCTTAAGAAAATTTTTGTCATTGATATTTCTATTTTAACACACACAATCAGAATTTATAATATACTAAAAGAATTTTAATAAAAAATAATTACAGAATCAAGAGAAAGAAAAATGTGTCAGATAGTTACAGATTCAAAGGAAATATAACTTACTAGGAATTGACCATTGCGTTTGGTACACAATCCTATCTTGGCATTGATAAATTTAAATCTTAGCACCGGTGTAAAACCAGTTTATGAACTCTTCGTTGCTTAGCAGTAGACATGTGATGAAACTTTCTGGGTAATGTTTCTTTTCTAAAAAGTTAAAGTTATTTTTTGTTAGGTATATAATATAGTTTACTTTTCTACTAAAAACTTTCAAGGAAGCATTCAAAATTGTTTCTCACATGTCACGGGACTGGGCTTAGGACGAATACTAAACTCATGAACAGTAGCTAATTTTGGAAAAGTTACGGTTTGTTAACGGAGCTTTTATCTTACAAATTGGTCCTTAGCAATATTTTTAATTTTAAAAATATACCTTCGTTATAAATCTTTAGAAAAACAGTTATTCATATTTTTAATTACATGAAAGACATGTACATATTTTCATATATTTATAAAAACAAGACCCTGGTAGAACAACCAAATTCTACACTTATGTTAGATTCAGAAAATTATGATTAGATTTCTATCAAAAATAAAACCTTTCATAAAAATCTAAACAAGACACTGGTTTTTGTCATTTTTGCCTCAATTTCATAAAATTATGAGTAAATTTCCTACTTAATATACTGATATACAGAAGCAATCACATCAGTTTTAAATAAACGAACATTGATTTCTTCCTTTTGTGGTAAAAATTCAAATTTGTTGATTCTAGAATAATTGGAGACAAGCTGTTTCTAAGGTTATTTAAGAGTAGAAAGTAACCAAAAATGTCATTAAGTTAGAAATTTCATCCGAGAAACTCTTGTACTTACTTAGAATTCTTTTTTCAAAAAAAAGAGTTAGGACAACCAAAATTCCTTATAAGAAATTGAGTGCAGTTAAACAAAAAAATTTCTGTACTAGATAGAATTATTAAATTAAAACCTTAAAATAAATGAATACAGATATTTTGTTTTAATAATTATTTATTTCCAACAGTTTTTAATTTCTATACAAATAAAGACTATAAAATAAATGCTAATTAGAACAAAATAGAAATGAAAGGCCAATATAAAATGCACATGAATACTTGGTTTGCTCTTGTAGAATATTTCTAAAAATTCCTGAGTACATGTAAGCAATACATAAATAAACATCTCTAATTATAAAAATTTATTGAAAAAAATTAAATATCCTAAAGATTAATCCATTTTTCCTGATAAGAATGCAAGCCTTGAATTAGAAAAATGCTTTTATGTAATCAATTCATATTACTCAACTACATATTTTTCGTATTATGTTTAAGATGATTAATGATAAGCATTTCAAAAGTAATTAATATTTTATTATCAAATTAAATAATTCTTCAAATATATGATAATCGTAAAAAAAAAAAATTTTTGTTTTTCATTTTCTGTTTTGAAAACAGGACCATAATATTTCATAACATAAGTGCTTTAAAATATTATATTACAAACTATCATTTCTCTAATCANATAATGTTTAAGATGATCAATGATAAGCATTTCAAAAGTAATTAATATTTTATTATCAAATTAAATAATTCTTCAAATATATGATAATTGTAAAAAAAAATTCTAAGATTTTTTTAAAAATGTTTCAAGACAAAATTCTTTAGAGTTAATGAAAATTAAATTCATATATATTATACATAGTATCATTTTCTGTTTTGAAAACAGGACCATAATATTTCATAACATAAGTGCTTTAAAATATTATATTACAAACTATCATTTCTCTAATCAATTGTTTATGAAAATATGAAAACCGAATTATATACTATTCAGTTTCTATTTTAATGAGTTAATATATTTTATAGTATAATTATTAAAAATAAAATGCTAATTCTTCTACTTTTATAATATATTATTGATATTTGTTTATTTCTGATGATAAATTACTACAAATGAACATAAATGCCATTATCAATCTTGTGCATTACTTGAATATTGAATTAAACAAAAAAAATTTTTTTTTTATTTCAGTCATCTAAGAATTAATTATTTTTAGGATAAAAGTTGACCTTTATGGGTAATTTTGAACATCAGAAATATTTAAAAATGAAGATTTTGTTTATAATTTTTAGTATATTGGACTTATGTGCTGTAACAAAGAAATAACAAATATTTTGCCATAAACAATTTTACTAAATTTGAACAGAATTAAACTAAGCATATACATGAAATAAAATTTATAGTTAGTAACTATTTGGATATGTATTATTACTTTACATATCATAATGAAGAGAATGTTATCAACAAATTTATATTTTTAAATAGAATAATTTAATAAAAATCTCTTAGGTATTCAGGTTCACATTTCTAAAAATTAAATATGAAATAATGTTGACAGTTCAAAGGAGAAAAAATGCTTAATAATACTAGTTTAAAATAAAATTATGAATTAAAAAAAATGAATTATTTACAAATGAGTATTTCAGTCTAAAAAATGAAATTATTCATTTTTTTCAAGAAATTCTTGAATTTTCTATAAACCTGATATATAATAATAGATAAATACTGATTATATAAAAATAAAGTTAAAAAAAAAATCTAACTTTGAATACAGAAACTATAGTAGCAAAGATAAGAAATAACTAAATATAATAAAATATGCTAACCCAAAATATGCTTCTTTTTTTTCTCAAAATAAATTTTTTTTTATCATTAATTGAATACAAAAGTTTCAAAATAATATTTTCTGTCAGACATAAAATTAATAATTAATCTTAAAAACTAAAAAATGTTCAATTTTGTTTCACAAAATTTATTTCTAGAATTCATAACTCTCTTCTTTACTACATAAAACTTATACTTACTTATAAATTTCTTTATATATCTATCAGAAGACTTACGAATTATTTAAAAAGGTTCGTAATAGGATAATTTTCATAACACTGCGCTGTTTTGTTCCCTAACATAGAAAAATATACAGGGCATTTTCTAAAAAATTAAAACGTACCAAAAAAATTTAATTGAAAATAAACAGTACTCTGGAACAGTGGGAATAAACTTTTTCCACACTACTAAATAACATGGCATGAAAAAAATCTTATCTAACATACAAATGCTTCATTTTTAGTTTGGATTTAAAATAACATAAAATATATTTTAACCAATAGAGATTCATAAAATTGTTTCGTTGTGAATTTGACTTTCTAAAATTGAAACAGTTTCTTCAACAGATGGAGAATCCGTAACATCTTGTCCATATGCAGTCATAATCGGAACATACTGTGTAGTACTGAGTGGTGTCGCTATTTCAACCATTGACGTAGATGACGGCGGTGGTCTTGAATGATCACAAAGATTACTCTCCACAGAATATTGTCTTTCTAATTGCTTTTTCATTTTCCTGTGAGAGCCAGAATCAGACTTGCAGTGCTTAGGAATAGATTTTTCTGGTGTACTTTCTTTTTCTGATTTCGAGGATTGCAGATTATAATGACTAGAGCGATTCATATGAAACGGGGATACAAGAGGGGTATGCTCATCATCTGAAAAAAACCCGTCTGCGTCTGATCCTGGGGTGGGTAAAGGTTTGGGTGGTAAATTTTTCGGCCTCACTTTTTCCTCGGTTTCAGTTGAACTGTCGGAGGAGCAGTCAGATTTTGAAGTTGATTTCTTCTTCAGCTGTTTTACCTTGTTTGTTACGTGGTGAAATGCATTGTTCTTTTCTTGAAACTTTTTACTATGCTCTGAGCCCGCATCAGATTTTGATTTGCAAAAAGTTTCGTTTTTGTTCCCTGGCGGAGGATGTATATATGCGGCAGAGTCGTACACCAGTGAAGATGGTCGTTGTAGAGTGACGGGCTTCAACTTTATATCACGCCTTCTTGATGGACTTGAAGTAGTTGAAGCAGAGTCATTATCTTCACTCTTTGTTCGAGTGAGGGACAGGGTTGAAGTCTCAAGAGCTGTAGAAAGGTTATGAGATCTTCCTAATGATGATGACTCAAGATCAGTCATGGAGTCACTTAAAGACATTGCACTGTAAAAAAAAAGATTTTTAAGAACATGCACTATACATGACAATGAACTATGACAATGAAAAAAGACATAAAGGATTATACTTATGCTTTAATATTTAAAAAAAAACACATAGAGTCGCACAGATTTACTTTCACATATTCAACTTACTCTTTCCTATTTTGTCCTTCGCATCGAAATAGTTCTAACAGTTCTAATTGTGGAGGGAACGACATCTATTGGTCTACGCTCACAGAGGATTCGTTTCTCATACACACACACATATATATTAATTTACCATTACAAAAAACGATTGTTGAATAATTTTGTTGTTTTATTTACTGCAGCACAAATATGCGTGTAGTGATTTGTGCAGCAAGGGAGGAAAAAAGACAATAATTAATTTAAGAATTAAACTTAACAAATTTAATAAGGAAGGAAAATAATTAAAACAGCAACAACGATAGCGGAGAACTGCCTACATGCAGTGTTGCAAGACAAAGACTGATTGCTATAATTAGATTGTTCTATAGAAAAGAGTAAGTTAATTTCAGATTCAGGACTTTTCCCGTCTGGACAGTCTGGCACCTTTTAACACGAAAGTAAGTGGTTTCGATGGCGGATGATCGTGAATTAAAACTACTACATACATATATAAGGAAAATTGTTAATCAATTACGGTGGGACCTAACAACACAATTTTCAAAACATTCCTTTACTATATTACTTATATATACAGAGTGTCCCAGGATTATTGGGACAAACTTTAAGGGAAGATAGGAGGCATCTCAAGGATTCAGATTTGCACAGCAATCCATTGTCGAAAACGTTCTTCACTGAGTGATGTTGTTCGCAAGATCAATGGTTGAAACAGACATACACAGCTGCTGTCATTTCCTGTAGAGAAGTATGCAACGTTTTATGAACATCAGCTGGCAGATATGCACATGAAATACAGATTGACAGAAAGAAATGCACGAGCTGCAGAAAGATTGTTTATGACTGTGGAAATACAGGTCTATTTTCTCCAATGCTCTTATGAACAACTTAGAGGGAAACGAAGAAGTTTACAACCATGGGTTACTATGCAATTTTGAATCCTTGTGATGTTCCCTACTTTCCCTTAAAGTTTGTTTCAATAATCCTGGGACACCTTGTATTTTTGATAATTATGGGCATTCACTAATATTTGCCAACTTATATAAGCTAGTACAAATGTACATTGTTTCTTGTAATGCAATGAATCTCAAATAGTTGAGATAATCCTTCACTACTATAAATGGCATTTTCTCAAAATGTTTTACATACTTATGGTTTAAAAAATCTCTGAATTTTTTTATAAATATTTTATGGAACTGGGATTACAAAAAATGACTTTTTGAAAAATCAATGAAAGAAATATTAAAGGATATAGAAATGAACAGACTTTTAAAACTTTTAAAATTAGTAATGAAATTTGTCAACCGAAGATGTTGCAAACTAAGAAAAACTGTAGAAAGTTTAAAAAATAACCACCATTTGCAGCAACAATGTGACACAGTTAGAGGACAATATTAATAACAGCCAATGCAAACATTTAGTTAAAATAGTCTGGCATGTAGCAAAAAACATCAATTTAGAGATTTTCAAGTCAACCATGTCATCCGTGGACTAATTAATTTCCAACTAATTGTTGAGAATAAATTTTCTGCTTTTATAAGCAGAATGAAGCAAAGTGTGCATAACTATCTCTCTCCTTTTTTTAAAAAAAAATCGATTTTACATATTGTCAATCATTTTTAAGAGACCCAATATCATACACTATTAACAGACAGAACACATAGATAAAAATTTAAGTACAAAGAAAAAAGGTTCTACCTGACACGTAGAGTTGGAGAACCTTGAAGGCTGCATAAATATAGAGCATCCACTTCTGATGGAGTTGTAGCGACAATGGGCATATGATGCTGATGCTGAAGGCCCAGCTTTTCCTCAGAAATCAACTCTTCAGTATCAGACAGAATTGGACTCAGTGGATTTCCAACTATCACGGATGGATTAGAGCCTTTTCTCATATTGTTTTCTTCCAAAGTATCTTCTAACGCTTCTTCATTCAAAGTTTCTAAAGCTCCAACAATCATTGATTCTTCCATTGTTACCTTAAATTATTTAAATTGAAAGTATTTTACATAAAAAAAAAATTTATACTTCACACCTCATTTTGTTCATGTAAAGCAGTGTTTCCCAAACTTATGACTTTAGTGTACCCTTTCAAAATTTTTCGTAACGCTGCGTACCGCTAATAAAAAAATGAATGTATTTTGTACTGTAAAAAAATTTCACAAAAGTTAAAAATCACAACTGGCTGTTGACACCACTAATTATTAACAAAAAATAGGTTTCCTGTTTCTAAATAAAAGTTTGTGAAATTTTCGTTTGCTCCAAGATATTTCGCATAAGAACGCGTACCCCCGCTAAACTGTTCCCGTACCCCTGGGGCTACGCGTACCACACTTTGGGAAACACTGATGTAAAGAGACAGATTAAGAAGAAAATATTTAAAAATATTTATATTTTTCTTATTTCATTCTATAAAAAATAAGTTTTTACAATTAGTAATATTAAAAATAAAGATGCATTTTAGAATTACTGAATTACTTAAAAAAAATATTACTAAGTAATTAAAAATTTTATATGAAGTTTGTACAAGGTTATAAACTTTAATAGAAATGCATTTTTATACAAAGTCATGCAGAGTTTCAAAAGTTTTGTTAAAGAATGCTTCGTAAACTTGTGTAAGAAAAAAGTATAAGTTCTAGTGATAAATAATATACATGCAATTAATACTATTATAGGAAATTTTCAGAACATGAAAGGAAAAATTTAATTACGATTACAAGCTGTAAGGAACAAAATATATGTAAGATTATAAATAAATATCAATAAATGCAGAAAATAAATATGAAAAAATGATTGAAATCCCACCTCATTTAATACATGTTGCCAATAAGGTGAAGGCTTGCAAGAAGAGAAAGAAAAATTATTGAAACATATATTTTTAAATTAAAAAAAAAAAATTCAATAAGTCATTTGACAGTTATAAAAATGAAGTGATCATAAAAAAAAATAACCCAGTTAATACCAATACAAAAAGAAATGAGAAAATACTTATAATGCATAGAGAAAAAATTAATAAATTTTAAGTATTTAAAGACACTTAACAATTATAAAACCAAAATTTCATATTAACAAAAATTGAACAACTGAAATAAATTGAAAAAGAATTGATATTTTACCATTTTACAAAACATAAGTTTAACATCATTAAATAGACAAAAAGTTCACTTAACAACAAAATACTGGTCACCTTAAAAACACAGTAAGTTGCTGTAATCTGAAAAATACAGTCCCTTTAATTTATTCTGGAGAAGAGTTGAAAAGTTTCGAGTTAATATTAGCTTGATTTTTGTATTTTTTTGCTATAACTTCCAGAACTAATGGTGTAAATCTAAATATATTTTAGCACACAATTAGAAAACTAGTCTAAATATAATTTCATGAAAAAAATTACATTTAATAATTACTGTTTGATATAAAATATGATTTGAAAAGTGATGCACTAAGAAGCAAGCGCACCTTTCACATTAAATGAATTCACAATACTTTATACAGAACATGGAAATTTTTACTTCCCCAGAGCTTTTCTTATATTATTAATACTTGTATTATTATATATTATTATCTTTAAAAGTAATTTTTCAGCTTGAGTTGTTTGTGATTTTCAGCTTGAGTTGCAATAATGATGTATATAACTATTATCACTAGTTTATAGTTCAGTTTTGAGTGAATAAAAAATACATTATATGTATATAATAAATGTTAAATATAAAATATTATATAAATATATAGTCATGAAAGAATTCCGTAAGAGTGCCTTAACATGGATAAAATTTGGGAACATTTGCCTTAGAACCCTTTTCTTCATCTTTATGAAACATTAAAAATTACTTTTTGCACGAAATCATCTTATAATAAAATAGTTTTATATTTGTATGCAAATATCTTGATTAACACAATTTCTGAAGATATGACAATAATCACAAAATTAAATATGTTAAGAAAGCCACACTTTTACGTCTAAATTACTGAGGCAGTTATTACTAGACTGCAGCTACCCATATTTTGAAAGTCAATAATATAAATATGTTGAAAAAAGATGAGTTTAAATACTATATATGAAGACTGCCTCTTAACACATTGTGGGTCTGCTAAGAAATGTTAAATTTTAAAACTTACGCCAGCACAATTTTTTTCAAATTATTGCTAAACATGATTAAATATCTTATCCAAAATTTAGGTCATTATTGTAATAGAAACTATATATATTGTGATAAGAAAACAACATGAAATCTCAAGAGCAGTCAAGAAAGTACTAGTAAGTAAAAAAATCTGATCATTCGGTACAAATTATTAAGGTGTTATTATTTTTTTTATTTTTTTTTACCACTGTATATAGACGCAATTAATGATAAAAAAAAATAGCAACTAAGTCAAAAATTATAGACAGTGGATCATGGATTATGATTTTCTATAGGGTTTGATAGAAATCGTTTTTTTTTTCTTTTTCCCCCAACACTGAATGATGGACTGTACATAAACACTTTAAAATAAATACAATTTTATAGCTTATTTATATCATTCGGTACAAAGTTGAATCTTAAATGACTTCCAGTTTGAAGAGAACATTTTTAAACTATACAGAAATGTGTTAACATCTTAAATTAGCGGAATTTTTTTAAATTAAAAGTAACTATAGAATGTTTTTAAAAAATTAATTCAAATGTTAAAAAAAAAATATTTAAAAACATATTTCTAAAGTTTGCTTAAAATACAAAAAAAAATTGGTTGAACAGTTTATTAAATGGAGCTGAAATAGTGTGTTTTATATTGTGACTCCTTACTTAATAAAACTTTCATTTCACCATTCAAACTGAATCAGATCTGTTTTTCTAAGAAAGAAACATTCTATTCTCATTAGACAATATAAGTTATGCCATTAAATATGTTTAAATGAAATTTTTTGTTGCATTTTCTTTAGAATATTTTCAATGGAGAATTCATTTAAGATTTAACTTAAACAGTGATGTTTCAATAGTGTGACATGAGTCAGATCTTCAATTAATGAGTATATATTTATAATTTCCGCAAATTCTTAATAGTAATTAAAAATGTAAAACACAATGCCTAATGTGTAGTAACTCATTAGATAAAAGAAATAAATTCTTTTTATATTATTTACATTAGAACAAAAGAGGAAAATAAATAAATAAAACATTGGCTTTGCTTATCTTCAAGCAATTTTTGAAAATTAGTTATTATCACTGTCTTCAACTGCCACAAAATTTATCAAAAAAAGTTCATTCCATTATGGGTGGCCCTTTAAAATCTTAGAAATAAAGAAAAAGATATTTGAATGCATGATGAATTTATAAAGTTTATCTAATTTTTCAAAAAGAGCAAGAAAAATTTACTTTCTTTTCAAATGGTATTTGGTGGAAAATGTATGACCTTTTTACTCAATTAAAATGAATATAAGGGCTATAAATGATTCTCTTTTCATAGTCCACAATAATGAGAGATCATTACACTTATTATAATACATTAGATATGAAGTGATATTTTTTGCTTCATATTTATAAGATTTAAGCATTTAAAGATAACAAATCTCAGTTTGGATTTGATATAATTTTTTGATTCATTCTTGTTAATAGGTTTTTAAATGCAATCACAATATACATTAAGAAATAACTCTGGATTAATGATGATAATTTCCCATTCTTCATCATTTTTTAAGAACAGTAAGTGTAAACAATATTCATTGCTTAATGTGTAGACTAATTTTACTAAGCACAAAATTTGATCTTAATTGAAAAATATTAAAATCAAATTTAATATGATCCTATAGATTGTATCAGCTATTACAATAGAAAATTTACCAATGAAAAAATATTTAAATAAATTAAAATTTTAGTTAATTATTCTATTATTTTCCTACGTATTTGATTTTTCTTATGTATTTGATTAATCTAAATATTAGAATTTTTCATAATCTAATTTTATTTTATTTTGTTCTATGTAAATATTAAGTTTAAATGCTGATAAAACACTTTATGGGACAGCATAGACTTTTTAATAAATAAACTGAAAGAGCAAAGAATCAGTCAGAACTAATCATTGATAATTCTTATTTTCTATGAGTGCTGAGTTAAAATTTCTATTTTATTTATTAAAATTTTAACTTGTTTTCACATTAATTAAAAAAAAAAACATATCAAAGTTATATCACAAAAAGCTTTTTTTGTTTACAAAGTTAAATATTTAAAGAAAAATAAAATAAAATAATGGTCTAGTATTTATTAACAAATCAGCCCATTACCTTCATTTATTCATAAATACAATACCACTTTTTGAAATACTACAAGATAAAAATTATTCAAATCCAGAAACTATTTATATTAATGTTCCTTCAAGCATATAAATATTAGATAGTGAAAAGAAAATTAAGTGCAGATAGAAAAGTTTTGAGTAAAAATAAAAAATAGGATTAGTAAAAAGAAATAACATGCAAAGGTTTCATGCAATTATTTTATTTTCCAAAAAAGAATGCATATTAATAACAAAATTAAGAGATTTTACATTCATGCTAAAATCATTATAAAATGAAAATTTATTAAACTTGGCACAAAATTTTTTTTTCATTTAAATATAACAATAATAAAAAATAACAATAGTTTTGTGGATGTGTAAACTTGGCAATAAAATTATCAAAAAAATGGCATCAATTTGCACATTACACATTAGTTGGCACAAAATTGGAAGGAAAACTTACAATACAGCAAAAAAAAATTATAAAATATAAGATCATTAAAAATTTTAAAGTTAAATTTGTTTTATCATAAATTAAATACTTTCTTTAATTTTGTCACATTTAAGACATTTATATTCTTTAAAGTTACCTTTAACAATGCAATAATTCTTAAATTCATTAATCATTGTTCAATATTCTCTTAAATTATAAAAAGGAAAAAATCTCTCTAAAGAAAAGTCTAAGAAAGGATTATATAAGTAATATTAAGTTTGATTCTTTTTATATACTTGTACACAAATAAGTATTAGAACTAAGCTCGATAAAACTTAATAAATACATATTATCTTAAAACTTGCACCATTACCAAAGAGGCATCCTAAAAAAATTCTAAGTTAACCTGAGTTACTTGATACAAAATAAAATTTTATGCCTACAAAAACATTTTCTAATTTAAAACCATCTTATTCATTACTACAGATCACTAGCATATATGTAATAACTGAGTAAATACATATTATCTTAAAATTTGCACCATTACCAAAGAGGCTCCTGAAAAACTTCTGGGTTAATCTGAGCTAATTGTTAAAAAAATAACATTTTCTAAAAAACCTTTTATAATTAAAACCATCTGGCTCATTACTGCAGATCACTAGCATACGTCTAACACCTGAGTATATAGGTATTATTTTAAAACTTTGACCACTACCAAAAAGACACTTGAAAAAATTCTGGGTAAAACTCAGATACTTGTTAAGAAATAAAATTTTATTACACACAAAAACCTTTTATAACTAAAACCATTTTGTTTATTATAACAAATCACCAACATTTGTCTGACACCTGAGTAAATACATATTATCTTAAAACTTGCATCATTACCCAAGAGGCATCTTGGAANAAAAATAAAAAAAAAAAAAAAAAAAAAAAAAAAAAAACAGGGTGCACTCTTTGAAAATACCCTAAAAGAAAACATCAAATTTTCAAATAAGTATGATCTCTAACCTAACACAATATTAAAAATACACCAACTTTAAACAAGTTTAAAAGTAATGTTAAAAGCATTTAAAACAAATAGAAGTCTAAATAATATAGAAATTTCTAAGAAACTATAAAAATTATAACATTTTATACAAAATATTGAATTTTATAGGATACCTGCTTTTCTAAAACACTACTTCTTTGCTTTTGGATACTATTTTCATTACTTTCTGCTATAACTCTAGACGCTTTAGAAGAGGCATTATCAACCACTTTATGTTCAGGAGACTTATTTCCAGTATTTTTTAGAGGCTGTTTCGAAGTGAAGGAAGTGGTACGAGACAATTGTTTTTCCTCCTTGTAATAATAATTACCCGTACTCAAGTTTGCCATCTCATGCTCTCTCAAAGTCAAAATTAATATTCTGAAAAGTTCCCAATCACCAAAGCACATATTCAACGTGTCTTTTAATTCTTTCAAGTCACATGTAAGTAGAACTTGGCCATTTATGTTATTTTCTTCAATGACAGAGGTATAGTGATCAAGCTTCTTCATATTGAGTTTATCTTGTGACCTTAATAATTCAGAAATGCCAGCCACAGATAAGGAACTAAGTTTCTCTTGATCATGTAAAATCTACAAACACATAAAATTTTTTTAGTAGAAACAGTAATAGAAGAGTAACTGATCTACCAAAATTAAAATTTATTGAAGATATTAATCTTCACCTTTATGGAGTAAAAATTTGGAAAACTACGCAAATTCGATCTAAACTAGTTAACAATTGCACAAAAATTAAAAACATAAGGTTGATAATAGACCTAATGAAATTCTTAAAATTTTATTGAGTGAGAAAAGAAAGCAATATTTATGAATTTATTTTACAAAATTCTTGATAATCTGAAATTTTGAATTAAGATAATATATGTAAGAGCATTAAGTTTCTTTAAAGAATAAATATCTGGGTAATTTGCAGGGAAAAATAAAAACATAAAACCTTTTAGGTAATTAAGTAAAAGCTAAAAATACCTTTTAGGTAATTAAGTAAATTTCAAATTTAAGCAAATTTTAAACAAAGAATCTCTAAGTAATGATTTGAGTAAATTTTTGAGATATTTAAAAAATTTTACTACAGATTACTAGCACAAAAAAAGAATAAGTAATAGTTTAAAACAACAAATTAAATATATTAAAAACTGTATAAATATGAACATGATGTTTATAATCATAAAATACTCTTTATAATGGTAAAAGAAAGAATTTGTATTTTTGTGTGCATCTCTCTTGAAACTCCAAAATCTTTTGTGTAACAACAGATGTCATAGTGTAAATCCAAAATGGTGGCCAGCTGCTACATGGAGCAATTCTAACCCCAAAAGGAGATTCTATATTACAGCTCTATGTAAATAAAAACAAGTTTAACAGAGAAGTTACTAAACAATCTTTAATTATTATTTACCCTTGATTCTTTATGTAAGATAATGGTAAAATCAAATTTGATGGCATGTTGGAGAAATGCAACTAAATGTTTTGAAAACTATATAAAAAGCTTATTTTATTTATAGTTATGCCTTTGAAATGTATTTTTATGAACTTAATTAACAGTAATGTAAAAATTAAAAAAATAGCTACATACTTTATACCAAATAACTGGAAAAATTACTCGATTGAGAATAAATTTACACTAAAATGTGCTGACCACAAATAATTATATTATTATCAGTGCCTAATTATGTCCCAAGTGTGGCGCTTTTGCACTAAATGTGAAGGGACTTACTCTGTTAACATCTCTGTATTGATTAAGAATAATTTGTTCATTATTTATGATTTATTTCATCCCTGTACAAAAACCAGGTATCCGGTTAATTTTCAAATAATTTATGACTTGAGAGGATTTCCACATGAGACTGACATATCTTTAAAGATATAAGAAAAATCTTTTTTGTAATTAATTAATGGCATACCATAGCTGAAGTTGGTTTAGAAGAATGAAGCAAATTCTGTGACATAACCATATCATGCGATGGAGACATGGCCCACCATGGTTGAGGAGAAGCAGCATAATTAGGAACAGGCGGAGCTCTATTATGTTGAAACATATCTTTTCTGTTAAAAGTGGCAGGTGAACAGTAACCCATTGTGAGTCCAAAATCTGGTGTAGGAAGAGGAGTAGTCATCCGCTGGATTTTCATATTAACAGCTGCATTTACAGAATCCAACTTTGTGGGTGGATTAGAAGGTTTCAAATCACTTTTCAAAAACTCAGATATCTGTTGATGTGTTTCTAAAAAAAATGAAGACAATATAATTTTGAATAGAATAAATATAAGTCTGCAGTGAATCAATAGAAAAATGCTTTTCTTATAATTACAATTTTTTGATTATGGTAAATAAAAAATGATCTCATTAAAAGTAAAACTGTTACGAAAACTGTTAAGTTGAAAAATTGTTTAAAAAGTAACAAATATTCTCGCTTTACAAGAGAAAGTTTTTCGGGCATTTGATGAACAAACTCATGAGTTGAATGGTTCTTTCCTCTTTAATATCCAGAACTTTTAATTTTAAACTAATTGATGCGTTAATTAGAGGAAGGCCTATACTACATTGATTAGGATTTTAAAAAAACAATGAGAGCTACCAAATATTTAAATAAGAATAAACACAGTAAGCAATTGTCAGAGCAGTTCTACTTTATAGTTCAGAAACAGGCAAAAATAGAAAAAAATTTAAATGTTTCTAGATAAATGTCCTAGTTTTATTTTAAAAGTTTCTGGAGTACAAGACAACAAACAAAAATCTTTTGATAAAAAGCCGAAATAAAGATGTGCAAAAAAACGTTAAAGCAAAAGGAAATTTTTACACAAGGAGAATTTCATTAACTGGAATTTTAAAAGAACTTAGAATACTAATAAGAGGATAACAGAAGAGAAGAACAGAATGGAAAAAGATTCAAAATAAGGACATGGCCCACAAAAAGCTCTTAAATTAATAAAGAAAAATAAAATAAATTTAAGAATATAAATAGGATAAGAACAAAGAAAATTGAAAAATATAGAAATTAAAAATATATATCACTCACCCTGTATGACCTTTCTTATGTAAGGATCAAGATTTATGGTAAAAGGCAAAAACACTTTCAAATCATTGATTAACAAGCTGCTCGAATGAAATGATAAAAATACTTCAAACTTTCTTTCATCGTGGTCCAAATCAAGAGTTGGTTCCTGCTCTCTTGATACAGGCATATAAGATTTAATCCTAATAAAGAAATTAAAGTATAAAAAATACCAACCACACATAAAATAAATCAACTTGTTTTATAAATAAGACATCTAAACATTAATTTTACGGAGAGAAAATTTCAGGATTATTTGAAAAATAGATTATAGATTTAATTTCTAAGATTTGAAAGATTTCATACTTAAACCCTTTAAATTTCTTTTATTATCACTTTATTTTTCTAAAATTATAAAGAAATGAAAATATTCAATCTTACTTTTCATAGACAGTTTTTAAAGGCAACATCTCATCAAATTCATTCTCATGCATTTCATAGTACATGATAATCCAAGATGTTCTGTATGGCCATTGTTCTGTAATGTTAACCCAAGAGGCTAAATGATACCAATTGAAGTCAATATTAAATGCCTTTAATAGACGACCTAAAAAGGCAAATAAAATAGTCAAAGCTTTGAAAAGACCATATAGTATGTGTTTGAAGAAAAAAGAAGATGATTATATCTTTTATAGACATTATAGCAAACAGTTACGTTCTTAAAATACTTAGAAAAGTAATCATTTAAGGAAGTACAAAGAAATAAAGTTATATAACACAATATATTTCAAACCAAAACTGCATAATTATGATTGAACAAACAATCGAATTCAAAACTATACATTAATAATATGATTTATACTCTAATTTAGTATAACTTTGAAGATATGAACTGCTCGGGGGATCGTAAAAAAGATTTTAGAAACTTTCACATTTTTGATCTTATTTAAACCAAAAGAAGAATCAAAATTACAGAGCAAACATTAAAAAAAAATATTTTTTTGATTTGATCATAAATCCAGGCCTTTTTTTGGCAATTATTCCATGGTTTTTAAAGTTTCAATATCTTAAAATGCTTTTCCTTCAACATGATTAAATCATAAACTCATTCAGTTTCCATAATTAATAGTTATTACAGTGGAATATCACATTGATATCATTGAACTTCAATTCATCATTCTTGCATCTCTCCTGTTCCTGTATGTATCATATTGTTTTAATGCTCCTGTCACAAATGCTATTACTACAATGTTAATAATATTCAATAAATCGTTTTTGAAACTAGCAGATTTCTGCACCTATCATTCAAAAATTCTACCACCAGTTAAAGAAAATATTGCAGTCAATTGGACTACTTTGAAGCTTTTGAAACAATGAAGAATTTTCTGTATTTATTAGAATTTACAGAAAATGAACAGCAATCTGTTAAAAATATCAAATATTCTTTTTTTTGCCCTCCGAAGATGCACTCAAAAGAAAAAAGGGCTCAAACCTAAGTTTCTGAATATTTCAAATAAATAAACATGTTTCTTTATCTTTCTTTCGGATTATAAATATTTTTGCATTAAGTTATTTAGCATTACAAAATTTTTTTAATTACAATTTTTTATACTTATTGTAAATTTAATAATTTCCATTCCATTACTTCTTTATTATTTTTCTTATATCTTGAAGTCCTTATTCGATATTTTAAGTTGTCCTGCAGTCATCATTTTGCCATATCTATTATTTGAAATGGATGGTCCTTTGAAAAACAATTGATCGAGGTTCTACTGTATTTCAATAGATAGAAACACACAAATTTTGAATTATCCATTTAAGTACCTAATCACTCTTCGACTCTTATTCATTTCTGTGTTTGTAATGTAAACGGGCGAGCTATTGTTGATCATCTTTACGGCTGTAACTGTTACAGATTTTTTTTAAACAACATTACAACACTGCAATTTAAATTATCAATTTTTTACATGCTTGATTTGCCCCAATTTGGTAGTAAATCCAGGTGGATATGATAATCAGTTTATCAGTTATTGCTATGGATTTCATTAAGGTTTTTAAAATCCTGAGATTTTCAATACAATAGTATTACACAACTGGAATTAAAATTAGACTTGCTCATTTGAGCAATCATATTTTGACACACTCAATTCATGACAATTTCATTGTTAAATCATCGCTTATTAATTATGTTAAGTCATTTTTTAATTTTTTTCAGCAGTTATTGATTCAGATTCTTACATAGTTTTTGGAATAGTTTTTTAAACAATAGAATTAAAACAAGTGAAATTCTGCATTTTACCTCTAGAAAATTGATTTAGCTCATTTTTTCTAGATTCAACTTGAAAAAATAATTATTTCTATACAGAAAAATTCTAGATTACAAAACTCTAATTGTTGAGGTTATATTGTATTATGAAAAGTTATACTACAATTTTTTTTCCAACTCACCAGTAATGTAGACAATATTCATTAACCTTCTCATAGATCTAGGATTGATATCACTAAAATAATCATCTGTTAATAAAACTTTATTAAGGTCTTGAGCACCGGTAACTACCCTATGCAGATTGCTAATACTACTTGCTAAGCTGTCACTAGCTTTCAATTTTTGGTTTCCCTTTCCACGCTTTCTTAAGGCATCAGGTATTGACATGCTAGAGTTTGAAGCTTTCCGTATAGAAGACTAAATAAAAAAAATAAAATATATAGATTAGTTAACATAAATATTCAATTAACGGTTTTTGAATTACTAAATCACTACTGTCGCTAATACGCTTTTTAAACTTATCAAATTTAGTTTCACTAACCAAAATTTATTTTTAAGTTGTATTTATAAGAAACAAACACATCAAGTTTCATGTTTTGAATGATTGAAGAATATTAAAAACATATATACAGTGCAGATGAGTAATTATCTTAGACAACAATAATAAACTAGAAAAAATAACCAACGGTCTGTCAGAAGTCAGAATTCGAGTAGAATTTATATTGCATGTTCAAAAAATATAAGTAAAATGTTTAGTGCTTATTCTATGAAAAAGGAAAACAAAATTAAAGATGCCTAAACTGAAGTAGTAGAGATATAAATTTATTTAGAATAAAAATTAACGTCATGCATAAAATTAACAAAAGACTCAAAATTATTAGGAATTTAGGCTAAAACAGTGCCATAGTAAGAATAAATATACCAATCTGTCTGAAGGAGAAGAGTGTAATCATTCTATACTATTTACACTTACTTATAGAGCAGAGACTAAACATTTCACAAGCAAACCTATTTAAAAGCTTAGGAAAACAGAAAGATGTTTTCTAGGTATTACAAAAAAGGAACAAAAGCAAGTATCCTTGATAAGTCCACAAACAAAAGTTTTTGAAGTCATTGAAAGAATCAAATGCCTAAAATGGTAATGGGTTAACAATTTAGCTTGAAAAAAAAGACTGACTAATTGCTAAACTTACAGTATCTTATGGTATACTGATGACTAGGGCATGATTTCCTTTTTTAAAATCAGTGGCAAAGTTTGCTGATACTAAAAAAATGCTAGTTGGAAAACCTGTGTTTATGCTAGCATTTTTTAAAGAAGCATTGCTATAATATTTTGTGATGTAGAAAATGCAATATAATCATGTGATGTATTGCAATAAAAAAATATGATCAGAAATCTAGATCATAAGCAGTTATTAACAATTTGGTGCTTGTTAGTTGATGAAATCGTACCCTGCTGGTGACATCATATGACGATAAAAATAACCACAAACGAGTTTGTTTGACAAAATCAGAAAAACAACTAGAAACAGAAGCCAAAGAGCAGAAGATCCTATTTTTAAGAAAAGGCAAATCCAACTTGGAAACTACAATTGTTGCCACAATAAAAAATTTTAGTAAAAAAAGCCCTATTACAAAAATGTGCTTGCATAGAATAATTAAATAATCTGAAAGAAAATTTTCTTTTTAAATGAGAGAGAATAATATAAATTATCACATAAATTATGTAAATAAGATTTATGAACAGAAATATAAATTTCTTTATGAACTTACAACTGTTGGAACAGCTCTATCACATTCTTTATCTTCATTCCAATAACTTCCCGGTTTTTTATTTGAAAGTAATGCAGCCTGCTGAGCAGCTTTAACTCTTCTTAAACCACTGTTTTGCAAGTAAAAGGGAAGATGAACAACATTACGTAAATATTCATAACCAGTAATGTTAGAGTTTTGAAATGCTTTGTGGATATTTGATTCTATAGCCTAAAAAAGAAGAGCAAAATTTTTTTAAAAAATAATATAAATTAAAAAAGTAGTTCAAATTAATTTTATCTACTATTAACTTTCTTCACATTTTTTAAATTTTTTACTGTAAGAAACTGTTTTAATTAGAGTCAATTAACTGACTTTTTCAAACCGAAAATGCATGAAAAGTAGTATAAACATTTGTTCCCAATTTGTTAATAAAAGACAAATATTGCTGTAAGATCACTGTATCATTAATAACATGTATCTAAACATAAAAGAAGTTTCAAAAAGATAAGGATACTCAGTTAATTTTTCACAAAATCTTGCCTTTATTAAAGGCTTTTTAGTGAAATTAACAATCATATTAAGTATTATGATAAAGAAAAATTAAAATCTATACTGAAAATCCAATAGTACAATGTATTTATCTTAAAAAATATGAAACATTTTAAATTAAATCACTATTAAAATTATAATGCCTTGTTAAAATATATATTTTGAAATATTATAAATGATTGAAAATTGAAGATACAATCTACAAACAAAAACAATACAGAATATACAAAATAGCTTTATTTAAATATACATTCCTGTAATTTTATCTCAAAAACATGTAACATATGCATGTCAATGTAACATTCACGAAGCTGTGTAAATGTGCTTCCATTTATAACTACATCACACAATTATTCGTTGTAAAAAAAGGAAAAAAAATATTTTCATGGTACAATTGGCAATTTCATAAAGTTTAATGTTTTGTGCATGCCTTGAAAAAATTGAGGGGGAAAAAGAATAAGTTGAAGTATTCAAATACAAAAATAGTGTTGAAATTAATGAGTCATAGTACACAATATTTTTCTTTTATACATTTAACTTATAAATGATGCGTAAAGTTGCTAATGATAAGCCGGAATATCACTGTTTATTTTTTTTTTAAAAATAAAAAGAACTATAAATAAGAACCTGCAAGTTTTTAAAACATGATAACATTAATACAACTATATAATTTCAGTTCATTGTATTTAATTTTTTCTTTAATTTCGATTTCAAATATGTACAACTGATAAAAAAATGCATCAAACTATGTTAATGTTAATGAGGTTATTCATAAGAAAGTTAGGTTATTCATTGCATTAGATAACAGTAACAACATAATATATTTTATGTTACTGTTAAGTGAAATTAAATTAATGTTTCAGGTTTTTTAGATATGTGGATACTCAATGTGTGCATCATTAACCACATAACACATTAAACCAGTAATCCATTAGAGGTATCTAAAACAATTGCAAGTATAATAAATGTGATATGATGAATCAATAAGTAAACAAGAGATATATACATGCTAGTCATTAAGCGGAACCAAAGAAAAAAATTTTAGGTGGCCATTAGGTCAATATAATCTACAATTTGGGGTTGTCCTAAAATATTCCTATTTTACAGCAATTGGAAACTACATAGTTACTTATTCCTCACTCTATTTTAAAATTTACTTTGAATTATATTTAATTCTTTCAAAACTGAAATGAAATTACAACAATTAAAGTATACTTACTTGAATAACAATATGAGGATCAATCGCTAAAATAGTTATAAAAGGAGCATTTGCATCAGAAAATAAAGTGTGCACAGCATCGAGCAAATAAAGAACTTTATCTTGTTCACAACTATCAAGGCCATCCACTATAACAACCAAACGTGTCTGTTGACCAATGAAAGCATCCAATCCTTGTACCTAAATAGAAATTTTAAAAATTTGTCAGAAATATTTCTAAATATTTTTTACTTTCAGGAACATATTTAAATATTCTAATTTATACATATTCAATAAATTGTTCATTAGTTTAATATTTAAAGCAGTGATTCTCAACCACTGTGCCGTGGCACTTTTGTGTGCCGCCAAATTCTTAAAATGTGCCGCCAAATATTATAAATGATACAATAAAAATTATAATGCTTTTTTTTATTATGAGTATAGTTTAAATTAAAGAAAAATGTATATATATACTTTTTAAATTTTTCCTCGCTTTAACCGCGTGAACACCTTTGTCGGCGATTGTATTGTCTCAGACAATCTTAAAATAAGATGGAAGTGTTTAAATTGTATATGACACACAATTTTAAAAAATGTTGTAAGAGCTAATCATTAAAGTAAGATTAATTAATAAACAAATTAACAAAGGATAACTAAAAAAACAAATACATAAAAACAAATTAACAAGGGATAACTAACAAAAATTAAGCTAACAATTAATAATTAGCAGAAAAAATAATTAACAAGAAATCACAAAAAAATAACAGTTAATAATTATAGAAAACAAGTTAGCAATTAATAACTAGCAAAAAAATAAATAACTGTTACTAACTAATAAAAAGTTGGTCGAAAGAAATAATTAATCCCTTAATAAATGTGCTTTTGTCGTACATATTATTTTATTTCACTTTCAAAATTATTATCACAAACTATTTAACACAGTGTAAAATAGGTAATTAAATAACTTTTAATTTAGTTTTTTTCATTGTGTGCCGTCAAATTTCGAAATCGTTAAAAGTGTGCCGCAACAAAAAAAAGGTTGAGAATCACTGATTTAAAGGGATTAAGTACAGTTTTCATATCTTTCATTATTTTACAATTTATGTACAAATTTTGCATTATTTTCTGATTTACGAATATAAGTTTTAATTATTACAATAAAGATCATTTTATGTTTAAGTTATTACAATAACAAAATTATAGAAATATGGTGCTTGCCACTCTTACCTTTACAAATATTAAANGAATTATATTTCATTCTTTCAAAACTGAAATGAAATTACAACAATTAAAGTATACTTACTTGAATAACAATATGAGGATCAATCGCTAAAATAGTTATAAAAGGAGCATTTGCATCAGAAAATAAAGTGTGCACAGCATCTAGCAAATAAAGAACTTTATCTTGTTCACAACTATCAAGGCCATCCACTATAACAACCAAACGTGTCTGTTGACCAATGAAAGCATCCAATCCTTGAACCTAAATAGAAATTTTTAAAATTTGTCAGAAATATTCCTAAATATTTTTTACTTTCAGGAATATCTTTAAATGTTCTAATTTATACATACATCAATAAATTGTTCATTAGTTTAATAATTAAAGGGATTAAGTACAGTTTTTATATCTTTCTTTATTTTACAATTTATGTACAAATTTTGCATTATTATTTTTTTATTTACGCATATAAGTTTTAATTTTTACAATAAAGATCATTTTATGTCTAAAATATTACAATAACAAAATTATAGATATATGGTGCTTGCCATTCTTACCTTTACAAATATTAAAATTCTTAAAAAATACAATTAAAAAGAAGTTTTTTTAGTGGCATAACAATAATCAAAAATGAATTAAATATGAGATCATTAGCAAAGTTTTTATTCAGATATACATTTTCTCATGTATACATATAATAATATTAAAAGAAATGCAATTTTAAATGATTTGAAATCAAAACACTGCAATATTTTATTGCAAATAACAAAATTAATTTCTAAATTTTTTATTTATAAAATATTGTAAATGAAGTAAAAACATTGAGTTTCAGTATTTGAGCATTTGTACTCACCATTTGTACCAGTGCATCTACCTCCTTTTTTAGAGAGCTTACACAACTCTCATCTTTAGGAGAGTTCACTTTTAAATAAGAATTAGTAATTCGTCTTTGATGAGAAGAAACCAGAGTTTTTGCAAATCGAAGTAAAGTGTATAAATTCAAGGATATTGCTAGACCAACCGCTACACACAGAGATATAAATATGGATTGATATATGCGTTTTTGGTCATTTGATTCTGAATAAAATGAAGTAGCATCAGTTTGTAAGCCTAAACCAATGATGCCTCCAATGAAAATGATCAATAGAAAAGCAATGATGAAGTTGGGGATGCAACAGATATTGCGGAATCGCCACCACTGAGATACAACTAAGTAAAGAAAAAATTTTAGGAATTACTAAAAAACAATTATAATCATGGTTGATAATACGTAAAGATTAAAAAATACTATTCTAGCTAATGTGTTAGCTTAAGTTAAGTGCTAATTTAATACTGTAAAATATATCATAACTTTATTATAAGTAACTATGAAAAAACTTGAATTGCTTAAACATTGAAGGCACTGGGTTATCGAGGTAAAGGTTTGATCCCCATTTCCATTTTGATCTTGAAGCCTAACCAGCTTTAGATTCATGAGTAAATTTGAATGGCTCAAACATTAAAGGCACTGTGTTATAAAGGACTAGGGTTTGATCTCCATTTTGGTATTTAAGCCCAACCAGCTTCAAATTTATGGGATCGCCTGGGAAATAAAGGCCACAACTGTAGTTTTGGTCGTGAAATAGTGTGGGCATAACTATTACACCTCTTTACTCCCGATACATTATGGCTGTAGCAGGAATGCTTTATAGTGCTCTTTATGAGAACTTTTGTACAATTTTTATCAAAATTTTAGTAATCTATATCTTTTTAACATAGATGTTTTAATATTTACTATAATTCTTTAAGTTTTCTTCAATTCATTAAACAATTGCAAATTTTGTAAATTTCGCGTAGCAAATAAAAATGTGATGTTTTTGTAGGAGGTATTTATTATTTTCAACACCAATTTTTTTTTTTTTTCAATACCCAAGTTTCACAATTTAGTAATTGATGTGCATCAACATTTTAAGAAAGATCCATAACATTAAGAAACTGTACAACAAATAATAATCAGCCTTTTAGAAAACATTCAGAATTTGTAAAACAATAAAATTGAGAATTCTCAGAATATAAAAATACCAAATAGATTTTATCAAAATCCAAAATAAATGAAAAATAAGATTTTAAACCTTTTTAAATTATTATTTATAAACTAAAATGTATTATTTATTCTGAAATATGTATTATTTATTCTGAAATATGATCATAATATTTAATCATAGAATTTTTTAAAAATAAGCCGAGAGGAATAAAATGGAAAGAATTATAAAATATCTTTTAAGTATCTCCTTCAAATTATACAGATTAAACTTAAATTTACACTTTGTTACATACTGCAATCAAATAAAATATTAGGTAAAGCCGGCAAAAATTAAAAATTCACAATAAATTAAATAAATAATCTATACCTGGCTTTGGTTTGAGAACTCTGTACAGACGACTTGTAAAAAGACCATACACTTTTTCAACTGCAATGTGTAAATTTGTAACGATGCTTAAAACAGAATTATCTGTACCTGAGCTAATTACTTTTGTCTTTTCAGTAAAAATAAACCTAAATAAATATAAAAAATATATATTTATAAATCACTACACTTAACTTTATCAGAGGTAACACTGAAGTATACAAAAAAAATGCAAAAAGAGAAAAATATGGGGAATTATTGTAATTATTGTAAATATTTCACACAAAATAAATAATTGAAGTTGAATTTTCCCAATCTTCTTTAAACAGATAAAGAACACTTACAGAATAACTATTACAAATATGTATAGGGCCTTACAAATTTTGCAGAAATATTTTAAAAATTGTACAACCAAGATGCAAAAAATTTTTAAAAAATATGGGGATAGGTCGATAAGGACGTAAAAAAAGAACTAAAACAAAAATAATAAACTTAATGTTCCTCCTTGTTTTAACTACAATCTTTCAAATATTACAGTAAAATTTTGACTAAGTTACCAATTAGTCTATTATCATTACCAATAACAGACTATTGGTCTATTAATATTACTAGTAATAGACTATACTAATAGGTATACCTATTAGTTTTATTACTGAGTCAAGGATAAGTAGCAAAACTCATTCTTAGAATTGTAGCTTATCATGGGGAAAAACATGGGGAAACTGGTCACAGATGACTTATCATGGAAAAAAAATTTAAAGACAAATTTATTTGATAAATAAATATTTTTTTCAGAAAAATAATCATAGCATACTAACATTTCTTGATACAAATGCTGGTAACAATTAAAGAAGCTCCACTTAACAAAATGATTTGAACAAACAAAAAGTTTTACTATATATGTTAGTAAATACATTTCTTTTGGACTCGAAAACTTTCTTTTAGAAATTGAAGTTTCATATTACTTAAAATAACTTTCATTAAAATTAAATAAAAGCTGCTATTAAGAAGAAATTTAACAGAAGGAAGTGAGGCATACTGCTTTAGAATTAAATTTCCTTGAATGAAATACTACTACTTTTTATACAAATGATTTTTAAAGGAATAATAAACCAAGCTTATTAGAACCTATTTTAAAATAAATAATAATGCAAATTGACTATAACTAAATCGACAATCAATTAAAAAATACTGACCTAACAGGATCAGCTGCACAATCTCTCTTTGTAGCTGGACTGCAAAACAGGACAAATAAAAGAGTTTTAAAAGAGCTGAATTGAGTTGCCAAGTATAAGCTAATTTTATAAATTATAGAGACGTCATATTTTTTATTGCAATAAATAACACCATCTGGAATAAGAAAAAAATATATAAATAATCAATTGAAAATTTTAATACATCAGATAATATATATAATAATATAGATAATAATTAGATTATATATATATATATGAAAGGGTAGCAGTCATGGTGAGTGTTGTTATGCCACGCAGATAGCAGTTGGAAGGCAAAAAATATTTTATTAACTTCACATAGTATATTTAAGACATTTTCTAGCAAAGGCGGAGCTCAAAATCGCACTCAAAAACTGTGTGCTTAAGTTTTTATCTTAGGGAAAGTAGCAAAGGAATTTCCCTCTATTTTGTTATATTTGAGGGGAAAAGGGAAGTGATAAGGATTACTATTGGTTTATGAAAGAAAACTAGCTTTTCCCACACAGAGCATAGGGAGATATGTCCTGCTCTTAATTAAATGCATAGTTGAGCCAAAAATAGATTTAAGAACAGGATGTGGCTTTTAAAAGTGTGAGANATGATCATAAATGCGTTTAACGCTTCTTGTTTAAGACCAGTAAGTAATGTGTTTTTTTGTAAGTTCATTGCTGAAAAGCTCCTTTCAACCGCCGCAGTACTCACAGACAGAGAAAACATCAATTCCACCATGAGCAGCATGTTGCTGTATTTCGAGAATAGAGGGTCATTTTAGAAGTGAGGCACTAGACTCTTGTAAGATAACAAAAATTGAAAATGTATCACGAACATTAACAGGAAAATGGCCTACCGCGCGGAAGCTGGATTCGAGAAATTTGTTGTCCGGGCGGAATTTTTGACCGCCGAGGACGGGCGGTTTTTCGAACCCTGATATATATAAATAATGGGAACAAGTCATAAAAAACACATTCTGATTCTTGGTACAAAACATTATTGTAATTAGTATAATAAAATTTTAAATATATGGTTATTTTCTTTCAATTCAGTAACAAATTTAATGGAAATTATTATAATTTAAATTGGCACTTTACACCTTGAATTCTTCATAGTAATAAAGCTATCTTTTTATATGTCCAATCTTTATTTTATCAGACATAAAAGGCAATTTAGGAGTGAAAAATTCCTTGTCATAGAAAGGAATTTTTTCCTCTCTCATAAAAATAGAACATTAAAAACACAAATTGAACGAAGAGAAAAACAAATTATTTCTTCTTCCGGCTAAAATTAAAATTATTGATAATTTTTTTTTAAGTTACAAATTAAAAGATAGAAATTATATTTTTCGATGAAAATGTAGAGTATTTTAAAAGCTGAGATGATAATGAACAAACTGTAAAAATAATTTTCCTAATTAAAAGGAAAATTTCTAACACTAAGTAACAATATGAACATTTGAGACAGCAATTATCAAAAACATGCATATTTAATAACAATTTTTCAATAGCATAAACAATAACTCATTCAAATCAAAATTTTGTATTGATGCCTTTAAGGATGGAATGGACTTCTATAAACTTTTTATTGATTGGTAAAAAATTTAACAGCATATATAGAACTATAATGAGGAATGAAAACTATGTGAAAATAAAACCACAATTAAAACTCAGAAATATAAGATTTTAAAACAGTAAAATAGCATATAAGTTTTAATGCTATAGTGGAGCATCTTTAGCGCACAGTAAAAAAAAATTTTAACAAAATATTCCTTTATTGGGCACTGAAGATAATGTTCCAGTGAAGCATCAAAACCTGCATGTTATTTTAAACTATTTTAATAATTCACGTTTGTGAGTTTTAATGCTGGTTTCTGTCATTTATAATTTAAATAACTAGAATGGTTTTGATTACATTATGTGTTTTTTCTTTTTGAGAATCTCTATGAATACTTTTATAATCTTAAAGCTTTTACAACCAGAAACCATATAAGAATAAAAGGGGAAAAAATAGTTAAATTAAAACTCTTTACTTCAAAGAGCAGATTCGTACTAATAAAAAATATTTCAGTAGTAAAGCGTAGTAAAAAATATTTCAGGTGTACCACAAAGTTATTTCTCTACTACTATTCCTGATTCAGTCTAATGGGTGGAATTCAATTTTTATCCTTACTTTATTTTTCACCCTTATACTTAAAGTAAAAAAATAATAGTTTTATTATTAAAAATGTAAAATATTTTATTGCAGTGCTTCCTAAAGTGCGGTATGTGTACCCCCAGGGTACGCATTCTAATGCAAACTATCTTGCAACAAACGAAAATTTTATTTTAAAACAAAGCCAGCCATGAAAATTTACGATTACGTATTTTTCTATTGGCTATTTTTTGAAGAGTTAACAGTTAATAATTAGTGGTGTCAACTGCCAATTGTGATTTTTAACTTCCGTGAAAATTTTTTATAGTAAAAAATACATTTATAGTAAAAAATACATTCATTGAAAAATATATTTTTTTATTAGTGGTACACAGCGTTACGAAAAATTTAGAGAGGGTACACAAAAGTCATAAGTTTGGGAAACACTTTTTATTGGAACAGTTTATTCTTTCCTCTCACAACAGAAATAAGATATTATGAAACGTAAGTAAGGTATAATAATACCTGTAACATTTAGCATTGTTAAATTCAGCCGAAAGATCTCAAAAGATAAGGCATTATTTTAGGGGGCTTTAGAAATGTAAGGAAAGTGATCACTTTTCATGGTTTATGGACTAATATAAGCATATCTTGAACCATACTAATCCTCTTGCCTCCCACTTGTAAGAAATTTTTAATCCTCAAACCAAAATAGAGTAAATTTGAGAAAATTGTTATGTTGTAATTAACCAGGAAGTAAGATATTGTAGGCTCCAAAGTATGTCACTTGTTGCAAGTGTATAGGATAAACTTTGTATCATTAATTATAGTTGAAATGGTGAATTTTTTTCATGTATAATAGATAATATTTTTCTAGGAATAGAACTGCAGCTTAACCATTTTGGAGCATGTAAACTAAACTTCTGGAGCCAATAATTTTTATATTTGGACTAATATAGTGCTTGTAAAATTGCATTTTTGACCAGATTTGAGCCTATAAGTTTACATTTATATTATATTTAATAGAGCTCAGAAAATAAATGCATTATTAAATAAAAATAATGTAACAAAATCCCAACAAAGAATTATGTAATTTTACTGTAATTTTATTGTAATTACATAAAAATTTTACTCAATAGCTTTTCTGCTGATATTAAATCCAGTAAAAATGTCCAAATGATATTCAAATATGCATTTTAAAAAAAAAAATTCAATATTTTTAAAAAAAAACAAAATTCCATATTAAAATGAAATTAAATTTACCATCACCAATATAAAAAATCATATTACATCATTAATGCAGGATTCCTTTCATGCAGAGCTTGTGGGATGCCTAGCCTTGTTTGCTTTTTGGATGAAAAATTTCCACATTATCTGCTTTTTGAGACTGATTACGTACCACAACATATTTAAAAGAAAGAGAAAATGTGGTAAAAACGGCATTTTGGAGCAGTCAGAACCCATTTACGAGATGTTCCAACCCAGTGTTTCTCCTGATTATTATTTTGTAAGATTAAATCATATTGTAAATTTTAAAATATAATCAAAGTAATCTGTGGAGGTTTATATACCTGGCATGTTGGGTCTGCTGGTAGGCCAGCTTGGTGATTGTGCAAAGTTGGTTTTGGCCAGCAGACCATAGTTTTGAAATCTTAATTCAATTACATTTCATAATTCAATTATACTCGAGGTAATAGCATTAAAGTACTAAGTACTATCATGAAAAATACATTTTATAATGCACAATGCTTAAGATAAAAGAAAGATTAAAACTTACACAATAAAATATTTAGAAGAAAACAGGAACCAAGTGCAACATAAAGTCCTAGCATCCACGCCTTAGTACACATTACAAATATGAAACCAATAAGAAGAGAAATAAATACAGTGATGAAAAAGACTAGTCTGCTGTATTCAAAAAAAGGCTCTAACCACTGAATGGCAAAACTCTTCATCTCATCTAAAATTAAAAAAAAATAATAATTAAAGATTAATAAAAATCTAATTAATGACTTAAAAGTCAATTCTATATAAAAAAGTACCAGTATCACACATTATTCTAGCCTTGGTGTGCTGATATAGGCGTTCAATAGCTGTAAATAATACTTGGCTATAATTAGATTATTTTAATGATGTTTCAAAAGAATTTGCAACTTTTGTGAATGAAAACACATTATTTTTATGTATTTTATTTTATTAAAAAGATTTAAGAAATTTAAAACTGTTGCAAGTTATATTATATTTTTTTTAAATTACGCCCGCCATCGTCTTATCAGACATAAGGCATCTTGCGGTCCAATACAACACTGAAGTAGCTCCAGAAGGTGAGAGGACACAAAAGTCATCAGAGGAACGAATGTCAAGAAGAGAGGGGCAATCAAATAAATGCTCCCCAGTCATAAAGTGTTACAGAGCACACAAAGAGGTAAATTGACCAAGTTAATTTTAAATAAATGGGCCTGTAAGTAGTCATGTCCAGTAATTAATCTAAGGCAAGCAACTCCCTCAGCTTTGGGAAGGAGGGAAAGGTGAGAGCGCTGCTGGTCATCAAGAAGGCTAGCCCAGGATTTTCCATCAGCTAAGTCCCTAAGAGCAGATATTGTTCTGCGCCTGCATTTGCTCTTAAGAAGCAGGTTATATTATGGACACAAAGCAGCATTTTGATAACAATCAAATTTTACCAGATTAGAATCTTTATTTGCAAATGAGGCCAGAAAAAATTTGTAATGTCTCTGCTGTCAATACTATCAACTTAATTAAAAATTTTTAATTGTCATAGCTATTAAGAATTTGCCTATTTTTGGTTTATTTCTGGTAAGAGTTATTAGTATTAAAAGCATTATTTAATATTTTCAATAAAATTCTGTAGCTTTGATTCTCTTTAATTGCTAAGTGATTTATGCCAAAAAAGTTATGTTAAAAAGATTAACATTTAAATAATATCTATTATGCTCTTTTTATTAATGTGTAAATTAAAGTAAGGTTACATAGAAAATTCATTAAAAATGCACTACTTCCCTGATTTTCAAATTGTAATCAAATATATAAGTGTAATACAATTTTGATAAATTTTTAAATATTATTTAGTATGTACGATCTTAAGTTTAGTTGAACAAGTCATGAAATATAACCAAATTTTGAAACCGTTATAAGGCTCAAATTCTACTATGAGCAATCACGTGGCACAAGTAAAATTTGTAAAAAAAAATATAGATGGAAAAAACCAATAAGAAAAAATAATTATTTTGTGTAAAAACATTTTATTTATTATTTTTTTTTACTTTGCAGATAGTAAATTTTATTTGTACAATTTCCCCAAAAAATAGTTTATATGAAATACAGCCGTTTATAAGATAAAGCCAAATATAAATAAGTTAAACATGAATACTAATAAGAAAGACAAATGTAAATAAGCAAAGTATGGTTACTAATAAATAAGTCAAATGTAAATACAACCAACATATTTTGCAATATTGCTACAATAAAATAAAATCAAGCATCAATATTTGGCACAGAATTATTGATATAAGACAACAATTACATTTATATGGTTAGAAAATTTAACGTGTTGATGTGGCAGTTTTAACTTTAAATGAAACAACTCTTAGTTGATGGCCACAAATGAACACAAAAAATATAAATTTTATACATACTTTCTAGTTTTTTAATCAAAAATGATTTGCCACTGCCCCATTTTGCATATAAGCCAACAGATATAGGTACAGAAAGAGATGGTTCACTTAAAATGTCTGCTAAAGCACTACTGTACAAGTCATAACCCAAACGATTTTCATTATCCTCATTTGTATTAAGCTTACCTATAAAATAACATATCACATATTATATTTCCAGCTAAAAAAGCAAATTTTAAAATAAATAAAAAACAATAAGGAATTTAAATTTTTTTATCACAATTATGAATGAAACAAATTTAGTACTTCTAAAAATTACCATCACCCTAATAAATACTCATAATAAATTGAATACAGAGTGTTTCTGTAGTAACTGTACAGAAATAGAGCCCATAGAAATCTAACAAAAAATTAATGAGGATAATTAAAGGATAGGAAAAAACTTGCTTGATTGGCAGAGAAAACAAAAAAAAAAGAATTTAAATGCAAATTTTAGTAATACTTTAATAAGGCAATCAAAATAGTTAAGATGTTTTTTATCCCGAATCCTCACTAACTAGTAATTTGAGAAAATTCAATAACTTTTTTTTTACCTCCTCGCTTAAAAATCAATTAAAATTTCCTAATGTGCTCACCTTTTGTTTTTTAGAAAGATTTTAAAATATATATTGTAGCAATCAGTAACAGCACCCTATGTACTAAGAAAAAGAATAGAGGGAAATATGTCAAAAGTCAATGTTATCAATTTAAAAATAATAAATCCATGGGTGAGAACCAAATTTATGAAGAAAAAAAACAAAATGAAGCCATTTATAAACATGAAATTTTACTATAGATATTCTAAATGGTTGAAAGGCTTATGAGAGAAAAACTAATGATCATAATAGGATAAGAATTTGTAATTTATTTATATTTTAATTGTTAAGTTATGTACACAATATGAAAGATGAAAATATATTATTTGTTAATATAAATTGCTTAGATTTCATTTAAACTGTGTTAAATGAGACATTTATAAATATTAAATAATTAACAGAAGATTAAATAGAAAATATAATATATAAAAAATTAAATGAAAGGGTAGATGTATCACAAATTAAATAAAATTAATAAAAATGCCTAAATAAGATAACTTCATTGAAGAGTGTATTTCCATTACCTATTATCCAAATACAAGTATTGTACTTGAATAATAAACTTAGATCATACTTGAATCATCCAAGGATATTATCATCTTAGTACAAGGATTGAATTGATTTTGTTTCACTTAATATTAACCTAATAAATGAAAATGAAATCAATAAAATTCTAATTTAAAATATTTATGTTTAACATTCAAGTGGATAATAAAACAACAATCTACTGTATTTTCCCATTTTATAACTTTAACAACTGTAGCATTAATTAATTTTCCAAAAAAAAATATACAGTATCCATTATTGCTTATACCCCACTTTTCAAATCAAATAGTTTTCATAAATTAACAGTATCTTTCAAAACATATGAGCAGTTTTTATGTAATGAAATTATTATAACTACAGATAAAGAAAACATCAAAATTTAAGTACTTAGTTACACATTTTAGTTCAAGCTATAGAGTACTTCAAACAATAATAAAGAAAATTTGATTTTCCTTTATCATTATAGTTTGAATTCTCACATAAATTTCAACTAAAACTTAAACTGCTACTAAGTTAAATATTAAATCAGCAGTCAATACTAAACTTTTCATTTTATATGTTGTAAAATAGAGAGGAACAAAAATAGAAATATATATAACACTTACGGGCTCCAAATATTTGTGCTAATATGCTTTTCTGCTGATTGGTATCAATATTATAGGGGGTTTCACCAACACGATTGGGACGATACAATAACTGACTATTTTTTGGATTGCGCAACAGAATTTCAACAATTGCTTTGCTTCTTGCTCTCATTGCTATATGCAAAGCAGTATCACCTTTCTAAAAAGAAAGTTTATGTTTCAATTTAAATATTAAAGATTAAACAATACATTTTACATTTCATTAACATACTTTGAAAAATGTTTCTACATAGAAATTAAATGCAAAATTAAACTAGTATTTTATATAAGATTATTATTATTTTGAATGATAAGGAAATTATACATAAAAAGTATGAACAGACAATAATTTTGAACACACCAAAAAATATAATTAAAATCAAATTTAATGATTATTAAAGACTAGTATTCAATCAAATCAAATTATTTTTAATTAGAATAATTTGATTTGATTGAATATTCCAAATTAACCCAGTAATACTTTAATTTCTTTAATAACACAACAATAGTACTGATAAATGCATAACGGTATGACTGATAATTAAAATAAAATGTCCATTAACTTATATCTCCACATTTGCAGTAACTGATACTAGTTGTTTAACTATATATTATTTGATTACAAGTACAAGTTTAAAATGCAAATTTTTTTATCAATCTTATCATGCTGCATGATTACTATTTCCATTAAATTGCAATTAATTATCGAAAGAATTTTTTAAGTTAACATTTATTGAACTTGCAAACAGTAACAAATGAACAAACATCTTATCAAACAAATAAGTCAATGTTTACATATCAATCTACAAACGACCTTTTTCCACAGTTATAATTATTTCAAATTAAAATTAACCAGTTTATAAGGATAGTTTCGGTTTTGGATGGTTTTATCACTGTAAGTGAGATATAACATAATTCATTACCTGATTAAGCAGAGCTAACAGTATTCCATAGTCTTGTAAGGTTCTTCAGTTTACAAGACTAAGAAATACTGTTAGATGAAAATACTATAATAAATTTTTAATAGGTCACTTTTTTTAAGGAATAATTTTTATCAATTAACCATAAAAAATTATGAATCTTCATTAAATGAAGAACTTTAAAAATAATCAATGACAAGTTTTTATATAATTTTCCCTCGACATTTGTAAAATATAAACTGAAGCACAAACAATAAATTGCATAAGTAATAATGTATGACAAGAAAATATTGTATCTTTCAAATATTACTTTGTCTGAAGCAGATACACGGCATTTTTTATCAACTAACAGTTGAACTATTTCAGCATTTCTGTTTCGGGTTGCTTTTAAAAGAGCCGTATCTCCATCCTAAAATGAAAAATATGAAAACATTTTTTGTTGAAATATAGAAATTTAAATAAAAAGAGCAAAAGTACCAGTTATAGTAATATCAAGCAAAAGTAATGCCACTTATTTCAGATTATGATTTTAGAAATTAGTAAAAACTTGTGAAAGTAAATATACATATCAAATCTAAATGTTTTTGTCTAAAATTGCATTAAATACATGAAACAGGTACAAGTCATATTAATAAAATATTAAAAAAGAAACCAGGAGCAAAATTATGTCAAATGCTTTGCAACAAGATTTCTGATAATTGCAGACGTTTTGAAGGCATCACTAAAAATAAACAACTAACTATTTATAAGCTCTTATTACCTTTTTGATTCTTATTAATTTTTTTAGAAAATGATGAACAATTCCATATTGCAATTTAAATTTAGATCAAATTTGTAAATTTAAAAGAAGCCTTAATTAGTAATATCAAATTATGTATAAATGTCAACAGAATTAAACAAAAATGACAACATATAAAATTTTGGAAATAAATTTTTCTTCAGTAAAAGTGGGCGAACATAGTAATGACATACATTGTTCAAGTACTTAAATTGTTCTGAGATATATATATCAGTTTTGAGCATTTCCTCATATAGGAAAAAGAATTAGTGATTCAAATAAGAGTCACAATCACACCTATCTGACGCGAAATAGCACAATTAAACTTGTTTATTTCAAGCCCTAATTTAAAAACATCTCAGGTGTATCAAATAAACTTATAAATAGTAGTCATTTAAAAGTTAAAAACCCTATATAAAACCGTTGTTATAAGCACAGCTTTTGGTTCCAATTAGTCATGCAACAGAAACTTTTTGACAATTATTTTATTGAAATGGTTACAGAAAAAAGTTTTGACTAATCAAAAGTGTTTAAAACTCCCCCTTTAATTCAAATTGTTTGAGTATTCATAATAAAGTACAGTAGAGCGCCGATTATCTGAACCCTAATTATCCGAACGTCCAATTATCCGAACCATGTCCAAATTTGTTTTTTTTTTTTAAAGTTTAGAATACTTTTTAACTTATCGACAATTTTTCTAAATTTAGTAGAATAAATAATATCCACTACATCTGAAGACCATATTTAATTTACAACCCTTTTCAGCAGTTTTCTTACAGTAGCCAATACATACATGCATTGTTATACAGTTAAACCTACATACTCTTTTAGCCCTCTTCAACTGAAAATTATCTTCCAAGAATGCGAGCTTCAATTTGACAGTGTCAAATGGTAGAAATGAGGAAGGAGTTTATGAATAGATATGTGATGAAGTAATGGGTACTTGTCACTTATGGTTAATGATTAGTGATTACAGTGCTTAGAATCTTAAATCTTGGAATAAAATTCTTAACAAAAAAAATAAACGAAACTGAAGTTTCTGAACCAGTAGATCTTCCCGATTAAAAGATGTCAAGTTATACAGCAGAAGAAATAGAAGACTGGTGTCGAGACACTGAAAACGACCCAGAATTTCAAATTTTAAATGATGGTGAAATTTTGAATGAAAATCGGAATTCTACAGACGAAGAAGAAGTAGGTGATCAAATTCAAGATAGTGGACCTTCTCATATAGAAGCATGCAATTCATTAGCTAAAATGGCTAAAATTTCAAAATGATGTTGATCCAGTTCAGTTGATTTATCTAAAAAGAATAAGGGATATGGCTGCTCGAAAAAGAGCATCTTTATTGAAACAAGAGTATTTGCTGAATTTCTTTTGCAATGGAAAATAAAGAAAAATGTGGTAAAATCAGTAATTGATAAAAAAAATTTTAAAAAGCTGAAATATGATAAAAATAATTCAAAATGAAAAAAAAAGTTTGAAAAAATTAATTAAAAATATTTACAAATTGAAAAAAAAAAAAACTTTTAAGCATGCCAGAGCTATTTTAGATAGTACAGCCAGTCCTAAGAAAAGAAAAAGTTTGAACGGAAGTCAGTGCATAAATTATAATTATTTAAACTAGATTTTAAACATCTTTCCAATTATCCGAACCACGTTCGGTCCCGAGCAGTTCGGATAATCGCTGCTCTACTGTATAAGAATGAGAGGTTTTTTATCACTCTTGCCAAGAATAAAGTTAAACCTTGAGGCTATAACTCTACAATATATTAGATGAAATTGTGGTCAATGCAATAACTAACAGAGGATATCGCCATGCAAACCATTGAATGGATTCTATTTCTTGCTGTTCATGTGTCTGCCTATACATTCCTTCTTAATTGTTTATGAATCATATGCCTTCTTTAATAGAATTGCACTTATTTTATCAATAAGTTAAATTATGAATAAAACTCACTGTTTTATCCCTTCAATGAAAATAAAATAATAATAAAATAACTATTTTAATAACTATGTTTTTCAAATGGATTAAAAATGATAAAATAATTTTATTTTTGACAGAACTAAAAAACATGTAGGGCACATCACTTCTAGAAGACATGAGAGAGACTTCTGCTTGTGATAGAAGCTTAATACAAAAGTGTTGAACCCAACTTTTTTTCATTGTAAGCTGGAGAAAAAAATATATATATATTGGATTAGGTCGGGTCCTTTTTCTAAAAATATCTCTCAAACTATAGTAATTCTTTAGCAGAAAATATGGCTTGTATACGTCTACATCACATCGAAAAATTAGTACCATCAAAGGGAACAACAACGAACTGCTCTTTGTCTGATATGTTTGCCATTGTTCAAATAAACAAAATAAAAACCTTTGAACAATAAAGAACCTGAATTTACTTTTATTCAGCTGCTTCTTAGAGCTGCTTTACAGAAAAACTAAAGTGTTTTTGAACCACGCTTTGCTGTTATTGAAATGGAATTCAGTGATCAGTGGATCGGTGAATGACATATTTATTAGCACATTATACAGAGTAACATGGTTGAAATGTATACTAGGAAAGGACTGCTAGAAAAGAACATTTGAATTAGGGCTAGAAATGATTGCTATTGCAGTTTTTCTTCAACAGGCATAATTAACTAAAAATAATATTCACTTTTTTCACAAAAAATTTTAAAAGCAAAAAAATTTATTTATACCTTGGTAGCTGTTTCACAGTTGGGATTGGCATTCAATATAAGACGAACAATATCAACATATCCTTTTTCTACTGCCCAGTATAGGGCTGTTTTTCCATCCTTAATAATAATAAAAATAGAAAAAAAAGGTGAATAGAAGAAAATAAATTAAAAATTTGTTAAATAGAAATCCATAATCAGGTAAACAAACACTATCATTTAAAATCTATAGTAACTTAAATATACTTACTCCACCAGCTATATCAATGTCAGCATATTTTCTTATTAAAGCATCAACAATGGAAAAGTGGCCAGCTTTTGAAGCATGGATGAGATTAGTATCACCATTTCTATCTGGTAAATTGATATATGCTCCAGAGTTCATGAGAGCTTTAGCAATTTCAGTATAGCCTTCTTTGCAAGCAATGGACAGAGCAGTACATCCATCCTGGAAAAAAGTTTATCTCTTAAATTATAATTAAATATTCTTTGTTTGGAATGAAAACATCAATAAAAATAATACAATAACATTTTTAAATAATATGCTTTTAAGTGGGATAAAAAGGAGATTCTTATTATTATTTCCAACTTATTTTTTTTTCATTTCAAACTTAGAACAATAAATATATAAACTTTTATGACCACTAAAAATTACCTTTCAAAAACGATGCACCTTTTTAGACTGTTGAAATTTTTAAATTAGAAATATCATTTTTTTTTAATTATTTTACTTTAATAAGGGGCTTTGCCTCTAGCTCATTATTGCATGCTAACCTTTGGAACTGCTTGAGCAGTTCTTTTCTAATTGCTTTGGATTAACTCAAATTACTCATTATATACAATTTTCAACTTATTTTTTACCCAACCTTTCCACTAAAATTTTAAATGACATTAAAATTTAGATACAATATTACTTATTAAATGAGATAATTTATTTTTAAAAAAGTTAATAAAGATATACAATATTAAAGTTCTCTAGTGTCACATTTAAGTTACTCACATAACACTAGTAAATATAATTTTTTACCATATCAACTGCATTGACATTAGGCTTGTGTTCCAAAAGCATATTTACTATGCTGGCATAATTTCCTTTAGTAGCAACAAGTAGAGGTGTCCATGAAAACTGTAAAAAAATTGATAATTATAAAAGCTTAGCAACCCAACAGGAAAATAAATTTTCATTCTCATGCATTTTATTGAACATGAAGGGGAAAAAAACATCAAATTAAATTTAATTTAAAAAATGCTAGGATATAATCAAATATTTGCAATTTTGTTAGATACTTAAAGCTCTTTTATTTCCTCTCAGAAATTGAGTATATTAAAATATGTGCCCTCCTTCTAAACTAACATCAATGTTTCACGAGTAAATACATTTGCAGGTGAAAGTGTAACCAAAGTGATAAACTATATATTATTCATATCTATCATTTAATCGGCTAGTTAAAATATTAGTTGCACATGACTGTGAAAATGTAATTTTTGTTAACACTCAGCTGCAACCACAGATGCATTATCATAGCATCCACAGATGCATCCAAAAAGATTTTTATCCTTCAAATTCGAAAAATCAGTTGTGTTAGAAATTTGTTTCTTTACTAAAGTAACATTAAAAGTAGTTGCCTAGAATCTACACACATTACTGTTTTATCGTACCATTCATTATGCTACTTTTTTTTCAAAAAAATGTAGTGCACTAACTACACTACAACAGATTGAAAAAAGTAAAGACTGCAGTCTACTTCTGACAACCGTTTTAAACTAAATACAGCTTAAAATATAAAATAGAAATAAATTCTTTAATAAGTAAAAAGTCAAATTTAATTCAAAACTAACAAATATAAATCCCCCCCAAAACAAAAACAATAATGGTAGAATATAAATTTAAATATGAATCTGTATAGTGATTTATGTTTATCCAGACACAAGAACAAAATTTAAAAACAAATTGATAATTTTTTTCTCCGAAAAGAAGAATCACATGCCATGCAGCATATTAATATCTTTGATAGAATGCCTAAGAAAAATATAAAATTTTTAATCTAATATTTACTAAATAATGTATAAAACTTACCATTCCAGCAGTATCAGCACTAGCACCAGCTTCGAGAAGAAGATGCACAATTTCTGTATAACCTTTACGGCAAGCCCAAACCAATGGAGTTGTTCCATACTACAAACAATTTTAAACAATTTAAATATGCTCAGTAACACTGAATTTTATTTTTCTTTACAAACAAACATTTTTCTATCAAATATATGACATAAGTATAAAATTATACAAAATTACTAACAAACAAATACTGAATTTCTTTTTAAAAGAGAAATATTCAAATTGTTTTTAAAATTGTCAAATTCATGTGAGGGTAAAAAAAATAAAAATAAAAACTATTCCTGAAAACACACACACAATACAGTACAGATAATAAAATGAACACACTGGAGAAAAATGCAAGGTATATAACTAATCAAAAAACATAGATATTGATCCCATCTTTGAAATCTTACTAAATAAAGGCTAAGATAACACACCTTATCACTTGAATAAACTTTGGCACCTCTTTCAAGTAGCGCTTCAACAATCTCTAAGAAACCTCGACCAGCTGCCCAAATAAGAGGTGTACAATGGTTTTTGTCTACCACGTTAACCATAGCACCATGCTCTATTAGGATTTTAACAACATAATAATGACCTTTATAACAAGCCCACATCAGGGGAGTCCATTGACCCTGAAAATAATTTATAACTATAAAACAAGCATAACATAAAAGTATTCTTAAATGCAAATATTTAAAGAGTAAAACAAAATTACGTCAAAATGAATTTTTCTAAACAAATGAGTATTTTTTACTCAATTACAGTAATTTTCGGTAGATGCGCTGTATAACCAATTAGAATTGGGTCCAAATAATATAAGCCTGAAACAAACTAACGTAAAATAATTTTCTATGGCAAAAAAATTAATCTTAAAAAATTTTAAAGATTTGCATTTGGCAAAGACTTTCAAACATTGGAGAATACTTTTGATATTTGGCTAATTTACTGGTTAATAATTTGAAAATCCTCAATGCAAATCATGAATATGGATCGAAATTAATGAAATTTTTTTTTCAATAAAAGGATATTTTAATATAAATCTTGCCGTAATACCAAATTACTTGATTATGTATCAATATTAAATTTCATTAAATGAAAAATCAGATATTATTGCATGTAAAAAAAATTTATTATAAGTATATCATAATACATCAAAACTATTTATATTTGCATTTTTCATAAATAAAAAAAATTACCATATCCCTATGCTCAATATCAGCACCATGGTCAAGCAACTTAATCACAACATCTTTGCATCCATTTCTAGCAGCATTAGTTAATGCAGACCAATTGTCCTGGAATATAAAGTAAAGTCATATAATACTAAGGCAGAATCGCAAAAAATTTTCTCAAAAGAAAAAAATAAGAAAAATATAAGAAATTTATAGTTTTTTACTCTTTAATTAAATAAGTAATAGGTACTATGAATTAATTAAAATTATTACATGAGCAAATAATAGAGTCTAATATCTATAATTCGACAGAGCAGCAATGTAAACTTGTTTTCCTCCAAACATTACCTGCAAGCCATTAATACTTACAATTCATGAATCACCAGCGTAAAATTCCCTTCAAAATATGATGGATGAATTATTTTTAACAACAGTTTAATTTTAGAATCTTGGAACTAATGTCGTTATCAGAAAAATCTTAAATTCACAAAAAGAAAAATTTTTCTTCCTACATTTGTCTCAAATTTTCTACACATTTTCAATATCCATAGCTACATCTAAATTTTATTTTTTAAGACTTGGTGAGACTAAATATTACCTGTAAAAACAGGAAAAAAGTCTCTTAACTGAAAAAATGATAGGTCTGACTTTTGTTGTAAATAACCTAGAAAAAACTTAACACTTTTCAGTAGAAGGTTAATTAATATTTGTTGCAACTCAACTAGCTTAAAGAAAATCAAAAAGCCTCAGAGATTGTTATGGGAAAACTTAGTTATTTTTCTGAAAAGTTAATATGAAAGATTATTATTTATTTCGAACTAATGTGGTAAAGGAAATACAAAATTTTATTTTACAGTAAATTTTTTTTTTAGTTAAATCTTTCTAGAAAGAAAAAATTTGATTTTTTTTAAACCTGATTAAGAAATATATTTATAATAATAATAGCAAAATGCACAAAACTAAAAATTTATGTCTTTAATCTTTGATAAATATGCTAGGTAAATGTGGGAAAATAAATGGAAAAAAATGAGGTTCTAATAAATATTGCATTTTAGTAAAAGATAATGAATATGAAAAAAAAAACTATTAAAAAAATTTCAAAAACATATGAAGATTTCCGCTTATAAAAAATAAATTTTCAACACTTGCAGCAAATAAAAATTAAGTTATTTAAAAATTATTTACTTACCGCATCTTCTGCATTGACATCAGCTCCATGAGCTAATAATTCATTAACAATTGCAATCTGTCCATGTTGTGCAGCTATCATCAAAAGAGTCTGGCCATTCTACATAATAACAAAACATGATATATATTTTATATCCTACTGTCTTGGGATTGATTTCATCATTTAGCAATATATATATATGTATATATATATATATCAAAATAAAGAATAAAACAAAGAGAAATTAAAGACATATGAAAAAAGGGGGAAATAATAAGTAAATAAATAACAAACAACAGTTTAAAAAAAAAAAGGGATGAAATTTTATTTAAAAAACCGGGGAAAAAAATATAATCTTTTCATCAGCCCACACGATTATATCCGTAAAACAGAGTGCTTTCTGATATTGTATCAATAAAGTCAAAGCAAAATATATTAATACAATAGTGTGAGGAGCACTCAAAAAAATTTTTTTATAAAAATTACAACAAATAAAATAGAACACAAAAAGTAAAAATAACATGTAAAAACAGAAAATAAAATAAAAGAAAAAACAGTAAAAATGGACTATAAAGCGAATAGCGAAATCAGATCAACTTACATGGACGGAAATTTTTCAAGAATGATTTAAAAATGTTTTCGCAGAAAGATTGCCAGATTACAAAATATGAAAACAAAAGATGAAAACAAAAGCGCAAATTGAGTGTAACAAGAG